TCTCTCAGGTCTCGAAATCGAATAAAGTTTCCCCTTGGGAATGGGGGCTCCCGGTAAGAGATCAATGGGACAGTCAAAATCTCGGTGAGGAGGTAGCGACATGGCTTTGGATTTGTTAAAGGCTTCCTTTAAATCATGGTAACAGGAAGGTACCTTCTGTAGATCAGGATAGTCGGGGTGATCTATAATGATTTTACGAGAGTCTGTTGGTGCATTAACAGGTTGTGAAAGTTTACACCTGCCCATACAATCCTCTCCCCATTCCTTAATTTTCCCTGAACGCCAGTCAATGTGAGGATTGTGGATCTTTAGCCATGGAAACCCCAAAATAATCGGGTGCTGAGCCGACTCAAAAATATGGAATTGCATGCTCTCGGTATGGTCCTTATTCACAGTAATCTGAATGGGCCCAGTGCAATGGGTGACTGTGAACAACAAGCGGCCGTCTAAGGCACTGGCATTAATAGGATGAGATAGCGGAACAGTCTTTATTTCTAGCTGATTTACTACGCCCCAGTCCATAAGACTTTCGTCAGCCCCTGAGTCTATTAACACACCCTGGTCAATGGTTTGATTGTTAATACAAATGTTTACCTGCGTAACAGGTCGAGGAGGAAAGTCTGCGGAAAACTTGCTCACCAGCGCCCTCCTTTTGACTGGTGAGCACGATCTTTTCCCGGGCATGAAGCGAGTTGATGATCCGACTGGCCGCAGTAGAAACAACAACCCTCCCGTAGACGGCGCTGCCTCTCCTCCAGAGAAAGCCTGGTTCTTCCCAGCTGCATGGGTTCCCCGGAGTCATTCGGAAGTGTAATCCTCTGACGGTGTGGTAACATGGGCTGGACATCCTCGGCTGGCGGCGCGACCCACCAAGATGCATTCTGGGAGCTGGGAATAACGTCTCGGTTGCGTCGACGCTCCCTCTCTCTTTCCCGAAGACGGTTATCGATCCGGATGGCCACGGCGATGAGAGATTACAGATCCCGGGGTGTCTCCAGTGGAGCCAGCTGGTCTTTTATCGGTTCCGAAAGTCCCGTCATGAAGGCGTCACGAAGAGCCGGAACATTCCATCCGCTGTCCGCTGCTGCTGTGCGAAACTCGATGGCGTAATCAACCACCTGGCGGTTGAGCTGGCGTATATGAAAAAGTTTTCTGCTGGCCTCTGTAGCAGGCGATGAGTGGTCAAAAATACGACTCATAGTCTCTATGAAATCGGTCAATGAGTAACATAGTTCAGTTTCTCTTGACCATTCTGCAGTAGCCCAGGCTGCAGCTCTTCCCGTTAAATGAGACACAATAAACGCCACTTTACCATGGTCCGATGAAAAGGCTCCTGGGTTGTGTTGAAAATGCAGATCGCACTGTACCAAAAAGGCTCTGCAATTAGAAGAATCTCCGGAAAATCTCTCCGGAAGAGCCAGCCGTAAAGGGGAAGAAACAGCCTGACTTGGGAAATCAGCTGGAGCATTGACAGGCAACCTCTCAGTTGTGGATGACGTCACCGGAGGAGCAGTCTGTTGGTGAGTGAAAAAATGATTCATTTGGACAGCCAGTTGTTGCATCTGTGTGGATAATGCTTCCTGAATCCCGGCCTGGCGTTCTCTTAGTTCTTGCATTTCCTGGTTGACTAGGCCCAGCTGTTCCTCGTGATGAAAGATCTTCACGCCCTGTGCTGACAGCGCTGCGTGAAGCGTTCTTGGGTCGGCTGGGTCCATAATGGTCAGTTCGTTCTGTTACGAACTCAGACACTTAGGATGTAGGACCCAATTGCACGACCCGGGAGACAGAGGTAAAGTATTAGTAAGATACTTTATTTTCCAAAATACAGCAATGAACAACAAAAAAGGTAACTATCAAATCTCTAACCGAGATGACAAAAATAGAGGAACAAAATGAAAGCGCTCACGTAGTGAGGAATCAAACTTTACAAGAGTACAAAGAGCATCGACCTGACCATAGCAAGAGACAATACGAACTGACAAAGAACACTTGGGAGACAGGGGAATATAAGCACAGGGTAACTAGACACAGGTGGGACCAATCAGGGGCGGGGCTGACATTGATGAGCACAGGGGACACAGGTGAAAATAATCAGGAAGCCTGGAATGAGAGAAAGCAAACGTAAATAACATGCATCTCTCTAGCATTTCTGTCGGTGCACAACATAGCTGGTCACAAATATCCTTCAGCAAAGTAACACACTCTGTCACATGGTTGCCCTCTTATGATGCTGCTGTCTTTTAATATATAATTATTCCTCTGCCGCTAGTTCGTTCCTCGCAGATTCTTCAGTCTCATCAGCCTCATCCTTCCATCAGTCCCAGTTAACGCCTCCAGCCCACTTCCAGTATCTGACTCCATATGATATTGTCCTGATGCTGTAAGGGTGATGCCCCATGATCACAAAATGACCCCTCTAGAGTGCCAAGGACTTCATATTATGTCTGTCATTAATGTTACATCACCCATTAAATCACCCAAAAAATATTTTTTTCCCTCATCAAACTTAGAAGAAGTGGCTTGATTTTGTTCTCAGGAGGGGACTTTGACAGAGTATTTCTCAAAAAAATACACAGTAAAAGTACTTCAATGTATTGTTAGTAGTAGGCTTACTAATACAAAGTCAAACCGTATCAATTTCATTAAGAACTAATGGTAACATTTTATTTTTGGGTCATTCCAGAATTGGAGGACATTTCATGTCCCCCATATAAAAAATCTAATAATCCATGCCCAAAAAGCTAAGACATGCACTTGTTGTGTTAAATATACTTGTCTTGAGACAAGATGCATATAAAGTTGTAGAAAAAGTGGTTTCAAAATATTATTTAAAATATCAAATAGCTCTCGAACACCCCCTAAAATTGCCCTTTTCTCTTGTCCCAGCTTCTTGGTGACCAACTTGCATGTCAACTATAACATTTAAAATAGGGTTTTTATTTACTTTTTTGGTATTATTCTATTGATATATGTGTCTTGTAATGGTAAAATCAATTTGTTAAATCATAAACACATTTTAAATAACAGTAATTTTGCACAGAAGGTGTGTCCCTCAACATGCGCGCAACCCTGTTACCAAAACCTTTTTAGCTTGGCAGAGGAAGTGAAAAAACTGTTTGTCGCATGACACAGTGGAAAGGACATCAGCAAGCCATGTGCTACTACCATGGGTAGACCAAAACTAAGTCCTCTCTTTTATTTGTAATATATTTCCAATCTTGTCACTCTTGAAGGAGTGTGGCACTCATACAAACGCAACCCTGTTACTCAAATTATGAGACAAAAACAAATTAATTTCAAATGTATCTTTCTTTTGTTAAATATATATAAATATAAATATAATATAAAGTGTGTCCATTCCTTGACAATAGCATTACATTGTGCAGCTAGCATTAATTCCTGAGGTAAAAGCTAAAATTAGCATTGATTTTCAACCCTGTTACTTGCAACCCTGTTACTATAATTAGAGTAACAGGGTTAATTCTTCATTGGAAAATATACATTTGATGCCTTAGCTGGGCAAATCACTTTTTTTTATGGTTTATTATCTGTTTTTCCTAAATACATAACAAAAAATAATCAAATGAAAGGTTCATTTTTCAAAAATGTTGGTGTCTAAATTGTCCTCCAATTCTGGAATGACCCTTTTATCATTCATCAAAGATAGCAAAAAACATGCATTATGTACTATGGAGGGGACTCTGACAGAGGATTACTCACAAAGTACACAGTAAAGTACTTCCTTTTATTTCTGGTAGCAGTCAACTAGTACCGAGTCCAACAGTATCAGTTTTATTCAGAACGTATGGTAAAAAATATTTGTATCACTCATTGAATATAGCAGGAAAGAAAATGAAGAGCAGCTGATTGACCGAGTGCAGAATCGCTGTATAGTTTAAATCTCCTTAATTACAATGTTGTCTATTTTAGACAAAGGCTTATTATATTTACAGCCCTAAGAACATTCATTTTCTGGGCTCAATATGTGTCTTGGCTGTTTTCGTTGTGATCGCTAAATTCAGATGCTGGATCGCTAGAAACACCGCTGTCATGATCAGGCTGGCAAGAGCTGTTCCATGCTCTGCTCAACCTCCCGCCTTCCCAATGGACTCAGTAGTGCCCCCTGCTGCCGTGGAGCATGTGTGAGTGAGCATGTGTGAGTGTGTATGAGCACAACCACGGCGGAATATTACTGCCAAAAGTCACGTGACTCAGTCACGTGACTTTTGGTAGTAATATTCCGCCGTGAGAAGAAAAAGTTTTGTACTTGTAAAAAAAAGTTTTGTAGTTGTAAAACAAAGTGTTGTAGTTGTAAAACAAATTTGTGCACTTGTAAAAAAAAGTTGTGTACTTGTAAAACCTAAGCTGAATTTGTCTCTGAAACATGATTTATTAGAAAAATGTTATGTGTTTGTTTGATAGATACGTTTTTTCTTTGCAAAACTAAATTCATTAGTTTGTAGATGGTGTTTTGTATTTGCAAACCACATTGTGTTTGTTAGTGAATCATAAGGCATTTGTAAAACCTGTTTAGTTTGTTTGTGGAGTTATGGCAGGAAATTAGCTCCATACCTGTACATTTGTAAATCACAATTTAAGATGACCTAATCCTTCACAAACGTTTTTTTGTTGAAATAAATAAATCAACCCTTATGACAAAACATTTTAAAATATATTTAAAATAATTATTTAGATTTGTGTTCCCTTATTAGATTGGTATATAATTGTTTTGATGGTAATGCTCATATAATAGGTAAAGATACACATTTTTAAGTGTAAGTGCCTACTTTTGATAGGAAAAATATTGTACTTTTTACTTGACATTCTTTTGAAAGCGAAAATAAGATTAGTTGATTGGAAAACAAAAGCACTGTTGAGACTTACAAATAAAAGCATATAGATTTTGCAATACTTGCTTACGTTTCATCTATATTGTAGGTTTTAAATGTGCTTTACACCGTTGGGTTTACATAAATATATTTTCTACCAATAAAGGCAAGTTTTTTCTTTGATGTATTTGATAGACTGTGTTTATTTGGCTCCAACAGTACAGTCATATGAAATGTCACCTTGAAATATAGCAGTGTGTGAACACAATGGTCTTTAAAGACATTTCAATCAAACGGATACAAAATGAGACGACAGAACATAAACTGAAAATATTACCACAACCAAAGAAAATGCAGTTTTAACTCAAAGCCACAACATGGATTTTGCCTAAATACCATTAAACATTTTTACTCCTGCACCGAGACTGCATTTTATTTTTGGAGAGTATGTGGTATTACAGTAAGGCTATGGTGTATTCGAGGGTATAGATCTGTTAGGGTTTCTGACAAGAGTCTTTTTCAATACACCGGCACTTTAAATCCGATGACTTGTATGGAAATACATGTTTGAAATATTTTGGGTCTTCTGCAAATAGCATAATAAACTAAATTTGAATATATAACAAAAAAACACAACAATCAATCAATCAAACAAAAACAAAACTGAAAAAAAATCAATTATAAAATTAGCTGCACATGCTAAACATACAGCAACTTGTGAAGTGAAATGTACTGTAACAGATGGAAATTAAAACGCATTAAAAAAAAACTAAATATAAAGTCATGGAAATAACATTTTGAAATATGGGAGACAGCTTTTTGAGGATGCATTGAAACCAATCAAATGTAATGAAAGGTCCATGTTTCATTTGTTTCTTCGTCCTCTGGTAAATAAACATTTTCTTCCAGGTAGTGGTATACAGGGTAGCATGACTGCACAAATGGAGCTTTTGAAACCACAGCGATGTGATGTTTCAGCTGCATTTGACGCTACGCACATTAACCAAAGTATAAATTGCACTTCTTGTCAATTGAGCACACATTTAACAGTACATTAATAATCCACTATACATATATCAAACTACATTCAATGCAAAGAGAGAGATAGAGAGAAAAGAAGCTTGAGAAAAGCGGTAATATTTTACTTCATCTGGTGCATTTCGTTGTCACGTTTTGACACAAAATAAAAGCAGATTGTAAGGTCGTATAGCTGAAGTAGAACAGTGAATACACGCTGCTCTGTTTTTTGTAAATGACCACCTTCCTTCACACTATCCGTTACGATCCAAAATTCATAATATCAAGAGAACCGCAGCGGACATGAAAAGCCAAAACAACTGAAAGGAATGCTGTTAAGAACCAAAAATGCCTTCACTTAAGAAATTATAGAAAAATAAATAATGTACCACTTAAAATATTGAGACAAATACACAAATATATGCACAGAAAACTTTAAATTGTTACATACATAAAAACCCCAACAACAATAAAGAAAGCTGTTGTGTACCGCTGATAGAGCAGCACCATCATAATCTATACAGGTGAGATGAACTGTACAATCAAACGGAAACCATACGGGAATAAACCTTCTCCAATCCACCTGTGGCTGGTGCTACATCACAACAAAATGTTGGTGTTTCACATGCATATTTCTCATGTTGCAGAAAGAGTATCACCTTGCATAGCACCTACTATGTCAGAAGGCAATTTGAATATAAGAAATGTGAAAAAGATGGGTAAAATATGCTGAAAAATAAACACAAATACTGCTCCATCTGATATGGAATGTGACATAACTGGCCACCGGGAACACTGTGGTGTGTTAATGGACCAATTCACTTAGCTTTTCTTTCACTGTTTTCCATTTGTTTAAGACAATACATGAGGTGTAAAAGAGTGTTCTGCTCAATATGTGAAAACCAGCTACTGTTGCTTTATGGTTCTGATACACTTCCTCAAATCAAAGCTTATTATGTATAAGAAATCCATCAGAAATAAATTGTGTACATGCAGTGAATCAACAACACTGTACAACTAACAGCCCAAAAGTCCAGCAGATGTGTTACAATGCTGGATGTGATTTGCACAAAGCTTCTTTACAACCAGGATGTGTTCCTGATGGATGCATGTACACTGCTGTAACCTGTAAAAACTATTCATATGAAAAACAGTGCGCAACGTGTGTCTTTTTTCGATACTCCAACCAAACAAAGCTCCTGAAATAAACACCATTCCGATAAGTCAAAATAAAATATAACGTTTCTGATAAAGGAATGAATAAAAGCTTGAGGCACCAAAGGCTATTATACACACAAATACAATGTTAAAGAATGAGAGCAACAACGAAAACAAGAAAAAAAAGATAATTGCATTGTGTTAACGCTCTCAGTAGACGTCGGAGCGCTCCTGGTGATCTCTCTGCAGATCCATGAGACACTCTCCTGCAGAATCCCCAATCCTAGGGTGGGGTGGGGGGGGTAGGCCTGTCCAAACTCAAACCCATGAGCCTGATTTGTGTACCTGACAGTTCCCCCTCCCTCTTGTCCGGAGACGAGGCACCACACTGATGCTGAGCCACATGTGTGTAGTATCGTGATAAAACCTGCGGATATCATACCCTCTGCAGGCATCACCTCAATAAAGCAACAATAACCAACAGCTTTACTTTCGGGGGGGGGTTTTCAGGCTACCAGCCATGGCGTGACTCCCTTTGGGGGGAAGATTAAAGGAAAGCAGAAATTACCAAATCAGAGCTCTTGGTGGGGGGGGGGTTGTGTTTTATGTTAGTGTTTTTCTTTTTCTGCAGAAGCCAACCACAAAACAGTGACATGTATGTACAATACATATAAATATAGTTTGCATGCGTTTGCAGGGGCAGGGGTGCAATGTTCTGTTTGGCACAGTTTTTCTTCTTTTTTTAGTCTTTTAGAAAATGTTGCTGCATGAATGGGCGGTGTTGAGACCAAAACAACACAAAACATGTAGCGTTTGGTGTTAGAGAGCCAGTCCAGATCCTCCTCCTTCTCCTCCTCATCCTCCTCCTTCCACGCCACCGTGAGTGTGCGGCGCTGCAGTCTGAGCCATGCAAAGACCACAGAGACAAGTTCTGCCGCCCAGCCGAGGATCTGAACTCCACCACGATGTGGATGTGAGAGCGGACACACACGGTTGTTTTTCCACACGGTGATGTGAGTAGAAGCAGCTTAGGGCGGGTAACTCGGGACGTATCATTGTACACATAGACTTCTTTTTTCTTTTAGACATTTTCCATTAAAAAAACTATAAATACCATAAAAGAAGCATTATTTACAAACTCCATGCGTTTCGGGTTAGAGTGATCACTGCAAGAAAAACACAGGAGAGAGAAGGACGTGAAGATGTTGCCAGTGGTTCATCACTCAAATGTACAATCTGGTTTTGACACAGTGAGGTGTTCTTCACACGACAGAGAAACGTTGTTACGGCTTATTTAATTTGAAGGAAACCCATGCAAACGTAGAGAAGCAGAAACACACATTAATAAAATGAACTGATACAAAGTGATCAAAATATTAGGAGCATTTTTTAAATCTGAATTAAACCTGATATATAGATTAAATCAGTCCAAAACTTTGATTTGATTAACCTTTCTGTCCTATTCCAGAAATAAAGATGCAAATAGTCATTTTTGTGTAGTTGTAAGGCAAAACACTGTAGGAAAAATATTGTTAATAATAATAATAATTTTGAGTGTTTTTCTCCGTTAATATGTCTTCTTTCAGACTAGTGTAAATAAAACACACATATACACATTTAGGTTTATACGTTAGGTATTTGTGTCTGTCGATGTCTCCTAAATTCATTAAAAGCCAGCTTTAGATAATGCCTTATTTGCATATTTTTCATTTCAGAAAACTTGTTCTACAAAAACAATATTCTCTTAATGTAAGGAATCATGGTGATATATGAAGAAATGAAGACACCACTGCAGCATTATCAGTTTCTCTGCTTTTACTATTTATAGGCACGTGTTTGAGTAAAATTAAATTATTTTATTCTATAAACTACTGAACACATTTTTCTGTGTTTTAATTCAACCGACACTGGAATGGAATGGCTGCCATACATGTAGACGTTGAGATTTAAGAAAATTCACTACGTTGAGATGTCCTTACATTTTGTTCACTCTGTATCTCTGTAGTTGAGCTACTGAAGTGTGTCATATCACTCAAAGATAAGTATACTCATCTCACCTTCTGCCAGCATCCAGGCATTGGTAATCCATCTGGGCCCTGATGAGAGAAAAGAAGCGGGGAAGCAAAAAGAAAAACATGAGCACTGAAACAGGTTTGGGTTTAACAGATGAATAAACATTAATACGCAAAAAGCACACATCGGAGAGAGTAAAGACATAAAAGCTACTTATAAAAACCACATTCTGCCACATCGATTCAAATCAAACCACAGGCAAATGACCTAATGATAATGCTGATTGTATGCACTTTAACTATTCATGTCTCACATGCTGGTTATTCGTATTTCTGGATACTGAAGGAGAAAATGTGATTCTGCTGTTTCGTGTCATTGCGTTGACCAAAGTGTTTGTATCATTATGTTAAAAATATTGAATGTGACGCTATGGTGTCTAGTGTAAAGGATGACGTGTCAGAATGCAAACTGCGTAAACTTTCTCTGATCATTGTACCTGTTGCGAAAGTAAGTTCTTCAAAATGTTTGTGTAACAACAGGACATTAGGAATGAGGAAAGGTTGTGAAGTAACCCTTTATAAACACTAAAGACTGTGTTTTAACTGTGCATTAAGCCTGCATCTTGATGTGTCCTGATAAATGAGTGTTATGATGATTATGAAATATAACATGTATTCTCATTCATGCACATAATACACAGCAACATACAGCTCATGCACATGTCTCTGATTTGATTAAAGTTACCCCACAGTTATAAAACAACAATAATAAGATGGATATGGGGACACTAACAAAATCAGAGTGTATCTGAAAATAAAGTCATCGCAACTCGTGTAGATGCAATTTAATGAGATGACATTTTTGATCAATGAAGTATACTATATCTAATTTCTTTGTAAGCACACACACAATCAATATAGCCTTTTCAAATTAGTTTAAAGCTTATCATTTAACGACTAACAATTCTACCCAGAGTGTAAAAACGAGCATTGCATTACACAGCACTCTTTCAGAAGCAACCAAATAATAATTCTGGAGACATATCCAGTTTTTAGTTTTTCCCTCGTCATCATGGTCTGGCCCAATTGGTACACATAAAGGAAGAGGGGAAGGGGAGTTAAAAGAGTGGAGAGTGGAGGGGGGAGGGGGGGGTCCATGTGCACGTAGCATCAGTAAAGGAGTCTGTGTTAGAATTTATTTACAGTTTTAATAAGAGCAAAGGAAGGATTGAGTTAGAGGGATAGATTCAATTATCCATGTTTTTATTTTGTATATTTCACTTGTAAATGTGTATTATCTAAAAGAGGCTGCTTGCTGTCAGAGAGTTAGTCACGTATATCTCGGTGCATGTAATGTATTTGTGATAAAAAATAAAGTGCATGTCAAGCTCTCAAGGTCATGCATGGTTTTGATTGGGTGAGGACTGAAGGTGAGCGGCATGCATTGGGTGAGAGGTGGAGGAAGAAGAGAGATACTGTACCAATTGGCATGGGGCATCCAGCCCGTCCAGACCTGGCTGCCCTGGTTCCCCCTTTTCACCCTTAAATCCCCGGAAACCCTGTTTTGCAAAGACGACCTAGGAGTGTTACTGGGAGAGAGGTGGACGACCTTTAACCCCCCCCTGCATCCATCCTCTACCATGGATACAAGAAGGAGGGGGGGGGTTGGGATGGGATGGGATGGGAGGGAGGAGCGGCCCTGTGAGCTTGCTGATACCACAAACCAGTTATATGCTTTCTTAGGCATTTCATTTTAGGATTCAGAGGAGTAATGTGTTTCTCCTCTGAATGTTTGATCTTCATTCAAAAATATCTCATCCATATTGTTTCATTTTGAGAGTAGCTGGTATCTGTTTAGCCACAGGATGCCCCCCCCCACCCCCCTGTTTGGGACGGCTGCTCTACGACCTGCAGCTCACAGCGGGGACATACCAATGGGCAGGGTGCATCTAATCCAGGGGCCCCCTGTTCTCCTTTCTCGCCCTTAGGCCCTTTTTTGCCCTTCTTTCCCTTCTCCCCCTGTGGATACAACGTTTTGGTCAAGTTAGCATCATTTCTTTCCGTACATTCGGGAGAGATATTAGGAAGGGAGTGATTAAAAAAAGGGAGGCTACAGCTCACAGAGGAGGAAGACACATGGTCAGCGTTAGATAGGAGGGGAGACCAGGGTACTCTAAAAACATTCCTTAGGACAGGAAGAGGAGGAGAAAAGGGGAACGTTACAATAGGAAGGAGTAATGGAGCTGATCGCTTTAAGGGGTGTCAAGGGCACAAAGGATGAGAAAGAGTAGCAGGGAAGAAACCTCCAGAAGGACAGAATTAAATCAACTACACACTGAAAAAGTTCAAACTGTATCCCTTCATATTGAGGCGGAGTTAGTCGTCTTATACTGTAGCATTCAGTACATGCACGAGAGTATAACAAAATACATAAACATTTCAGAATGACATTTCTTTGCACCAAACTTTAAAGGTAATATCACAGGCACTGTTATGGCTCTTATGAGAATAGATGCACCATTTTCAGTACAAAATAATACTTGAAAATTGTTCTATACTTTATTGTGTCTGATTAAATTAGCTCATTAATCAAAGTGCTATGACAGTGCCTGATTATTGTGTTTTCCAGAGAACAGAAGGATCTGAGTTGGACAAGGTGAGGTAAAGAAAATATTGAGGTCAACAGACATGAGAACGCCCAATACTGATTGTGTTATTTTAAGGGATGGGATACAGTTTCTCAGTGACTTTAAGCATCTACTAATCACATTGTAAGTGTTAGTCAGTGTGGGAACAGACAGATTTAGCACTGCAAAGGGAAGGGTTATCAACAGGCTCAGGATCTAATGGAAGGGACATGTTGAAGTATGTGCATGCATGGAAACAACAGACATAAAACAAATATGAATTTATAGAATCTGTTGTCAATGGACTTATGTAGGCAAACATGTTGAATCACGCCTCAAAATGAGATTTGATTTTGAGAAATGAAATGACAAATCATTCAAAAGTGGAGAACAAAACTTTGAGCCGACTGGATGGTATTTTATGAGAAATATGTTTTAAATTGTATGGAGTTGTTATCTTCAATGGTATAATGAGGGCCATTGTTGGTTTAATAAAAAATAAATACAGAGCCAGGGAAAGGGCGGTCTATCCCTAATTTTCTGAGATAATTAAATAGTTGCAAGAAATCTCAGAGAATATTATCATTTATTTCCTGAAAGTTTACAAATGTAATCTTAGAAAATTCCCAAAAATGTGTTGCCATTTATACAATTTATGTAATCAAAATTCTTGTCAATAAGGTATTCTGTCCAGGAGGTCTTAATTATATACAGTATATATCTGTCAAAATTAAATTAAATCCATAAAGACGCATTTAAATATATATTTTAATAGAAAATTCCTTTTGTGCACTATTTCTTCAAACGACCGTATACACTACCCTCTTTATTTCCTGTTACTGTCCATTGACATCAGTCCTCTGTTAGACGTTAAGGTGTTAACAAGCCATAACATCTTGTCTACATCTACCTTTTCTCCTCTTTCCCCAACGTCGCCTTTCTCTCCTATTAAGCCTTGCAACCCCTGCAAAAGTACAACTCCATTCAATTACTCTGGCTTTAATTGCAAGGACAAGAGAGAGTGCTGCTGTCCTGACAAAAGCTGAAAACAACAAATTAGGGGCTGAAAGAGGGTGAAAAACGAAACATATAGACATCAAAAGAAAGTGGAGGAATGTGAAACAAGAAAAAGTAAATAATGCAAAAATATGAGGCTTTTAAAATCTCTAAAATCTCAAAGGGAAAACTGACATTCCCAATAATCAAATGCAACCACATGCACATAACTATGAATAGGTCAACCTTCACTGATTGTGCGATTAGCATCAGGTGTGGAGCGTTACATAAAATACAGAAAGAAAACCAGTATCTGTACTTAATGCATATGTGTATATAAAAACGTAATATGACAAATGCTGGGATATTTATAATCTGAATCTAATTGCTGAATGCATGTACTAACTTTAACCACAGATCATATTCCAAGTTATTGTTGACTTTTGGTATATTTTTTTTAGATTTACGGACATCATGTGACTTCGAGCTGTCACAGTATCAGATTTTTACTACATGATTATCATTCAAAAATTAATTAAAATCTATAGAATAACATGTATATAGAATCATTTGTCAATAATCTCATTATCACGCTACCCAATGTATTCTTTTTATTTATTATATCATCCACACCTTGGACGAATCCAACAATTACTGATGGCGGAGGTCAAATTGAGGCTTCGTTTTTTGACAATAAAAAAAGGCGCCTTCAGAGAAAACTATAAAATAAAAAGGTTTTGGAGACTTACATCCAGGCCTGGTGTTCCAGTAGCTCCCTGCAAATAAACAACAACATATCAAGTTTGCACAAATCCTACTGCAGCAAAAAAACGTGCACATTTAAAAAAGAGGGGTAATTATTTAACTGTTTGTAGCTGACATTATTGAGCATCAATATACATCAAGATAGTGTGTCTTCAACATGATAATATGCTCATCAAACTCACAGGAAGTCCGTAAGGGCCCCTTGGTCCTGGATCGCCTGACGCTCCTCTCTCACCCTAATACAGATAAATCAGTGTTGCAATAACGTAAAACAGATAAAACATCTCGTATAAAAGCTGAAATCAGTCAGATATAAGGTGAAAGTCCAAATGTGGATCTTACGATGTCGCCCTTTGGCCCCGCCGGCCCCGCTGGCCCCACAGGCCCGTCCTGGCCCTGCAGAGAGTCGTGTTGTCATGGTGAGTTATGGCAAATAGTATTTTTTTTTATTCATTTCCAAACAAATAGATGGAAAGCATGTTCATTTGTACAATATTCCCAGCCCTACACCGGCACACAGAACGGCTGCTCGTACACGTGCATTTGCCACAGAGGGACATTTACAACACTGCTGACACAGTTAATGTATGAGTGTGTGTTAATGCTGAGTTAATGCAACACGGGACAAAACGACAGCCTGAAATGCTGCAACAGCTTTTTATCCTGAGAATAAAACTCAAGAGTGGCTTCATTTAACTCTTGAGATAAGATGTAAACAACTAAGAAAAAGTGTATAGATCCTCAGGTTGCACTTTATTTCACAGTACACTAATTAAACGTGACAAAAGTAGAATAAATATGTTCTTAGTTAGATATTACACAAACAGTTTACCCCAATTATACACCTCTGTAATTAGAAACTGTCATATTAGACCCAAAATGTACTATTCTTACACACTATTATATCAAATTGTACTCCCATTAGAAACCAAAAAGGAGATCTTATACACTTTTACAAGATACGAGTCTAAATGAAGCATATACTATTTGATTTCTTGACTCTGCTCTTATAAATTGGCATCTATTGTGTATTAGGATTTGCTATTTGAGTGTAATTTAATGTACCGTTGTCTAAATGTAGTATACGATGGGTCTAACATATCAGGTTTCTCATTACAGTGGTGCATGACCTCTTATTAGGATATAAATGTGTTTATTAAATGTCTAAGAAAGTACATATTAATTCTAGTTTTGGTCTAATTTGACACAAAGTATGCTCTATAAGTCTCTTATTAGTGTACTGTAAAAAATATAGTGCCTCTTAACTGCCTTCTTAGTCACAGTGAAACACGATAAAATGGAATGATGGTGGTAACTCATCTGAGGAAAGGGGGGACTGTATGAAGGGTGGGGGGGGGGGGGGGGGTGGGGGGGGGAGACAGTAGACAGTTGGGAGGGGTGAAGCCTCTCGGTCACATGACACTCACCCTAATTCCGGGCTTGCCGTCCAAGCCGGATGCTCCCTGCGAGGTTATGGAGGTATGAGTGACATGAACAAGGCGGGATTAGTTACAGATGAACACTGTTATTAGGACAGGTCGATGGCAGGGTTCACAACAACTACATTACACACAGAAAACCACAGACAGAAAATGGAAAACGAGATATATAAAGAGACACACACACTCACACACACACACACACTCAAATGCACAATTTTAAAAAATCACACAGGGCTTAAATAGAAATGAGCAGTGGCGGTTCTAGACCAATTTTACTGGGGGGGCCAGGCTGGGGCCAGTTATTTCATGAGAGGGGCACAATAAAAGAGGGTTAAAAAGACAAAAACAGTATAAAGTAATTGTGTAAAAAAAACATAAAATACAGTAATTGGTATTTGTTTTAGTAAATGTAAGTTATAGTCCTTTGTTTCAGTAGTTTTTTTCATTTAAAGTATTTTTTTTAGTAACTTTAAGTGACAATTGAATTAAAACACATAAACAGTTAATCTCCACTGTTCATCCGGGTCTCTAATTTATTTAGTTCCAATAAATCGTAATATTGTAACCTTTATTTTGGAGGGGGGCCACAGGGGGGGTCCCTGGTCAGTGTTACGGGGGCACTGGCCCCTGTTGCCCCCCCCCCCCAGAACCGCCCCTGGAAATGAGAGATTCCTACTGTATGGATGTCTGAGGAAATAAAAGGGCAAGGCTTTGTGGTTTCACATTTCCCATGATGCACGGCTTTACTTACGGGCAGACCCAGCGGCCCGCGGTCCCCTTTGTGTCCTGTTTCTCCTCGGATACCCTTCACACCGTGCAAACCAGATTCACCCTAAAAAAGACAGAGAGGGAACATGGGAAGCAGGCAGAAGTGTTATAATTTAAAACCTTGATGCAAGATTCTTTAGATTGTTGGGGATATATGCACTTACTGGAGGTAAGTGACAGCTAAATACATGCTATGTCTAAACAATTATGAGCATTCATATTAATCTAGAGCTAAATTCTACAATTATTCAACTTTAACTACGGACACATATGTCAAAAATATATAATAGAAAGGTATTGCAATACATTTGATTCTATAAGGATTAATACAAGTGCGCGTCTGTTTTAATTACAGTCATGATAATGTGATGTACCTTTGCTCCAGAGAAACCATGGGGACCCTGAAAACACAGAAAACATTGCAAAATATTATTCTGTGGCTTGACTCATAATCAACAAGATTTTATTTCTTATTTTAAAGAGCTAAACCAAGCTTTTTTTATGTCTTTCTACCTGTAATTTATTTACATTTTCCCTCACGAAATCTCAAGTGCACTACTGTGAAACATCCCACAGATATTGAAGGGTGCTCTGTTAAGTGTCTTCTTATTTCCCCCATACGAGCACACCTTGCTGTGGAATTACAGCCGACTATAATACAGTATGTTCCTTGAGGTTTGGACGTGTTTTGATATGAACTGGCTCTGTGCCATATTGTAATCGAACAACCTGTAACCAAAATAATGAAACACAACAACTCTAGAAACTGGTTGGGCTCGTTCACAGGGAGGAGGAAAGTCATCGTTTTGCATGTTAAGGTTCACCTCATTACAATACATACTCTTGTTTAATTATGAATACAAGTCCTCCCTGCACAGCAGCACCTTACTCCATCTTGAACTGTGTAATCATATAACCAGTGTAATTATTCAACTATAATAACACTGGTTTAATGTAATATCTCTAACATAGCATTTTAATATTTACATATTTATTGTGATATATATATATTGTAGTACAATGTGCAGATTTGAACTTAATTTCTTATGTTAATATACATATTTGTATTATTTTTTATTGTATTTTCTTATTGCACATTTGTACTTCATCTGTTGTATATTCATACAAATATTTGTTTTACACTACTCTATCTTATATATATATTTTTTTTATTCTAAACTGTCACAAACCTAATTTCCCCAGAAAAAATACAATATTCAGATTGTGATTCAGATGGATAAAATATTTTTCTTTTAAAATTGTGATGAAAAACTCACCATGGGTCCCGGGGGTCCGTGGGGCCCTGATGGCCCTGGGGTGCCGATGATCTGCAAACAGTAACATCAAATCAATGAATTATGTTCTACAGTAACAGAACAACACATGACTGTATGTCAGTTTGCAATGAACGGCTTATTTAATATACTACGTGAGTTTATGTCGAATAATATTTCATAAATGAGACTTACTGAAGAACCTTGAAGACCAGGCAGACCTGCGTCTCCCTTGTCTCCTCTCATCCCGTTCACACCCTGAGACAGAGGGCAGACGAACATAAATACAGTTTTTAAGAGGCGTAGTCAAAGGAAATGTTAGATAATATACTGTAAATATGTATATTTTTATATATAGATTATTACAGGTAGGCCAGTTAAACCAGTTCCTCCTTTGTCCCCTGAAGCTCCGGGCATCCCCATGTCTCCTTTAGAGCCTTTGTAGCCCTGAGAGAGAATACAAAGGAATTATAGTTTCAATTATTCACCCTGCAGATATGTTTGCAAATGTCTTCGTATATAATATTAGAACGTGAAATGTCTCCAAATCTGCATATTCCTACTAGAAAGTCCTGTGTACGTAACAAAGGGTTTAGCTAATGACAGAAGCCATCATCAATTTTTAAATGGTACAACTCTGTCTCAATATGAAGAAATCTATTATATTTTGTAACAAAAATGTAAAAACATACAAAAGAGAAATATTCAAAGACAACATTAAAAATACTCAACAAGTCAATCGCTATCTTCAGAAAAGTTTGTTAATTGATTCCCCATTTAAGTTTTTATTACAGTTTAATTAAATCTGGTATTTTTTATTGTTATACCGATCAGCTTCCACATGTCCCACTATCCTTAATTACATTTACAAAATATATTTTTGAGAGGAATTCGTTGTTATCATAGATGCAAATCATCTGCTCTTCTCTCCAGAAACTTCAATAAACAATTTCTAAATTGAACATAAACCAGATTTCTGTATTCATGTTTCAATATGTACACACAAATGGATTTTTAAATACATTACCTCTCCTTCACAATGTTCTGGCTTTTCTTTCTTATTTCTTATAATGTGAATAAACTGAAATGAACAAGGCCTGTGTTCTACACTAACAATAAATATAAGAACTCACTCTTTCTCCATCGAGTCCAGGGAAGCCATGCATCCCACGATCCCCCTGTGAGAGGAATACAAATACTTTGTTGGTAGTTTGCACGTTTACCATTGAGGATGGAATTATTAAAACAGTATTAAAAAGTGTTTACTTTGCCCCCCTCCGGTCCGATGGGCCCGGGCGGTCCAGGTGGACCCTGAACAGAAACAGACACAGGAGGGGAATTTCTATCAGAAATTAAACATACTTGTAATTGGGGTTAAATGTTTGAATGCAAGGAGCTCCATTTCATCGAATGGAGCTGACCATCACGATGAAATGACTTGCTGACAGGACAAAACATATTAGCAATCAGTTATGAAGTACAATGCTCAAAAACATGTTAGCTACAACATCCCAATAAAAATGATAATTGACAGATGAGTGATGATGTTGTTGCTTCTTTAATGATCAAACTGGAGTTTACTGACATTCAATTTGAATTTGAAGCAATCATGTTTGGACGATGTTAAACGATTAAAATGTGTATTTATGTACACCTATAGTCCAGTAGCCAGTTTCCAATTGTGAACCTGGAAATGTTGAGTACAACAAAGTTGTATCATAGAAATGTATAGTATGGGTCCCAAGCACATAGAAACTGCCAGGTGCCAACTTGCATATGTTGGGCAATTTGCACAATTAGCACAAGTGTTGATAATTCGCTTTATTACATGGTTTAGTTGAATACTCGATTCTGATTGGTCAATTCAGAACACGTGAAACGTTGTTAATCCAGTAGTACAGACCACTGTCAAGGATTTATTGACCGTTGTTATGGACGCTCACATCTGCAGAAAGAAGTCCGGTCGATTTAACTGTATACAGTTTGGCCGAAACTGTTTGCTTGTCTTTAGTTTTCCGCTGTCTACCGTCTGAGAGCAACATGGAGGATATATTTGGAGAGCACAGTAATTTGGATGGATGGTTAGTGGCTGATGAGTCCCCAGCGAAGAAAAGAAAAAGACAAGAAGGACAAGAAAACAGCGGAGAAGTAACGGGGCAGAAACCCTCAACACGGAGCTGCGGTCCTTTTTACTCAACGGTCCAGACATCAAACAGCAAAATATATTCAGTTGCCAGTTACTGTGGCATTAGGGCAGGGATATAGATACTTTCCAAAGTTTGACATAATGAATTGTGCTACTTTTAAAGCAAGCAACAAATGTTTTCAAAACGCTATCGAAGGAGTTCCTGCCGTTGCTACGTAGTTCAAACGGTAACAACGGACTATTTTTCTTAGCGGATGCATGTCATTTTAAATCAATAAAACTATTTTTTAAATCAATAATACTATTTTTTAAATCAATAAAAGCATTTTAATTAATATTGGGAGTCATGTCGTTACTTTGTTGAGAATGTGGCCTTGTAATAAGTAAGGGATAATGTGCAGCGAGGCGGTCATTATGGGTAAAAGAACACCCGACAGGCTGATCAGAGCCTGTCGGGTGTTCTTTTACCCATAATGGCCGCCTCGCTGCACATTATCCCTTACTTAGTTACCATTATAGCCTATGGGGACAATAGTTGAAAAAAGTTTTGACCAAATTGGTTTCGGGTGTTATTGATGACGCTGTGTCCATTTCTGACATTTTCAAGATAGAAAATTGCAGTATTAACCAGAGAGTGACAATATTTGTACTCTCAGTGGGCTGCATTTGAGATTAAGGGTCTCTAGATCATTTGGACTGGACAGATTGCCTATTTATTTGAAAAGATTGTCCACAGTAGAGATAATCATTTTCATCTTGTGCTCTCTATCAATTGTTGCAACACTACTCATAATAGTCAAAATCAGCCCACCGAGAGTACAAATATTGCCATTCTCTGGTTAATACTGCCATTTTCTATCTTGAAAATGATCCTGCTGGATTCAGCACCCTCAATAATGTCCAAAACCACTAAGAAATTGTTCAAATCGGCAAAATCATGTTTTACTATTGTTACCATAGGCTATAATGCAATTAATTTCAATTAACACAACTTATGCTAATTGTGCACATTTCCCAACATATGCAAGTTAGCATCCGGCAGTTTCTATGTGCTGGGGATCCCTACTATGAATTTATATTAAAAAACGTTGGTGTACTCAACATTTCCAGGTTTGCAATGCTAGCAACTAGACTAATACTGTACGCAGCACTGCATACTGTTTTATATTTAGTTAAGCTGGGTGAGGCGGCACAAACACAGCGAGGCCGTGCAAACCAGGGTGGGGCCCATGCGAGGGGGAGGATGAATACAATACAGGCAGTACACAGAGGTTATTACCGTTACTGTAATAGTGGTAATCTTCTGCAGAAGGCCGGTAGTGTGGAGGAGATAAGATTGCAAAGGTCATACGGGAAAGAAACCTTTGTGTCAGCACAGAGGTGTTATTTATTAAAGAACAGATGTGCCTGTTTATCTGTAGATCATATGCTGAATCGTGATGGATTGAGGGTGTTGCACAGTAATGTAAAGAAAACATTTTCTTGGAGGAGTTTGAAAATGTGAGTCATGGTCAAAAGATAAGTCAGCTTATAGTGAAGCTAAACAAACATCACAACTTGCAGGTTTATCTGAATATATGTCATGTTTCTTCTGTATGGTTTAACATTTAAACGTGTTGTAAAACACTCTTTCAGATTTTCTTGTTTTTAAATCAACATAATCACAATGACAGGGAGTTAGGTGATGCCCGGTCTGACCTGTAAAGCCTCCTGAATGTTTCCGTTGTAGTCGACGATTTCTGTGGCTCCTTGGTCTCCTTTCTGCCCGGGGGGGCCCTGCACAGATTCACATTAAGAAAAATTCACATGCACCAAATGTATACATAATAAACATTTAATCAGTATGACTCTTTTCCAAAAAAAAAGGAAAAAGGGACTGCTGCCCTCCGGTGGTTAGCATTGTGTAGTGCAGCATGTCATGTGAAATTATTATCTTTTGTAATCTTAAATCATCATGCAGAGGTTATTTTATTTAATATGTTTGCTTACCTTCGGGCCAACAGATCCCACGATTCCGTTATCTCCATATTCCCCCTAATGTGAGAAGAATAAGAAAAGTAAATCCATAATTGCATTTGCTATTAATACACTTCCTACTTTTAGCTATTATGTGGAGCAGTTTTGGCAACATAACTCATATACACATCATTATTATGGTACAAGAATTTATAGTAATGAGAATTAAATCAAAGTGTGACAAATAATAGTCCTGTATATGAATTGTTCACTCTTAATTGTAGCTTTTATTATGGAGATGTCCCAGATGAATAAGGTATAATATTTTATAATAGATATAATTCTTTAAGGAATACAATGTGATATAAATCAGGCTATGAATGATAAACAAATATATGAAACTGGAAAGGTCGGTGTATGTTAGTGTTTCTGAAGTGGAGAAAAACAAAGTTTGGGAAATAGCCTTTAAAAATACATACTGTAAAATTCTGTACATACTAAAAGTGAATAGGGTAAAGATCATGTAACTAACATTTATCACGATGAACCTTCCCCAGTTCATTACTGACATTAAGATTATATTTAAAGTTTTCTGAAATGTTATGTTTGAATATGAAAAAGAGGCATTATGTAATGCTAACTTTGAGAATTTAGGAAAAAACTACAAACACAAACGAAAAAAAGTTAGAAAATATACTCCTAATTTTGAATTTGAGGCTTTCTTTCCAGTTGTCTGAAAGCATGTTACAGAAACTAAATAGCTCAAAAACAAACAAAAATGTAACATGTTTTTTCAATGCCTTTCGTACATCAGTGTGAAAATGTCTTTTTTTATTTATAGCTTTGCATTGCGCAGACCTGCTACACTCTTAGTGCAACAATGCTAACATGTATTAAATCAAATTAATATAATGTCCAATATTGGATTTCACTCCAGCCAAAACACTTTACATCTGTTTAGTTTGATGAAATGTTCAAAAGAAGTGCTTGATGTATGACATTTCCACAGAACATGGATCCGACACTTTACCGACTAAAAAAAACAGTGAACATAGAATGGTGAAAATCCAGGATAGGAATCAGGTGCAAACTTTAATTAAAGGGTCAGTTTATAAAGGCATCACATTTAAAGAAAAACACATCTGCTTAACTCACCTTTGACCCTTTAGTACCAGGTGTACCCCCCTCTCCTTGGGAACCCTGCCGGGAGGAAGAAAACACAAATGGAGAAAAGAGTCATCGGTTAAAAAAGACAAGCTAAGTACTTACGATATAAACATGACATTGGAAAAATAACAAACTTTCTTTCCTAGGCTCAAGTCAAAGTCATCATTTAACAAATTCAATGCATTTAAAAAGTACATTTCACACAGGAAATATTACTAACGTGTCCCGAGAGAGCAGCCCGGTCAGCTTTTCTGACATATCCAGCTTTTAATATGTCATATCAGCCGAGCATGGAGAAAGTGTTTATTTGAACTTTATTGTTGATGAAGCAGGGGGTCCGCTTTGGGGGTTTCTAATAGGATGTGAAGCTGATCTGTGGCTCGTCTAAGTTTAGACTGGGGCTTAAGCTACCTGCTGGGTAAGTGCCAGACATAAACAATGGGAAACTCATTTCGTTCTGGTTTACTTTGTGCAGACTCCAGGGAAATCCTTGAAGCTATTACAGGCTGTAATGGTTTATCCAGCGCTCTTTGTTAACATTACTAAATATTTGATGAATTGAATCAGCCATCGCTTTTTTAAAACTACAAAAGTGTGTGCTTAAATCTGCAAGGCTCTAGATGGCAGCAAAAACCTATCAAACACATCGCTTACAAGACAGTTGTGAAGCTCTCAAAGACACACTGCTGTGAAATCCTTTTTTCCCACATCATTTGAGTCGTTTGTGTCTCAAGTGACTGACCTTTGGTCCCAAGAGTCCAATTTCTCCTCTTTCTCCCTTTCCTTGTGGCCCGTGGTCGCCTCTATCACCCTGCACAGACAAAAGAACAACAAACTGCTCAAGAAAAAAGGTAAAACAAATCGAGAAGTGCCTCACACAGCAAAGCAAAATTAGGAAACCCAACCCAGCCAGTAAACTCCATTTCTCCTACCATGCTTTTTTAAATGTATGTTGTATTTCACACTCATATGGCTCCTTTACACTTGCAAACTCACTCACAATAAAGCTCAACAATAGACTGTCCTGCACCTTCACAATATCGCTAAGGTTGTGAAATACATCCATATAATATCAATATCCTGATACTAGACTAGGTATAATGTTAGATTTTGGAAGATGTAATAAGTGTATTTTCATATATTTAAAGGTTACTTTACAATTAAGTGATGTCTGAACTTACCAGACTGTTATAGCAGATATTTATAACTCATTATATTAATACTTTTTGGAAGCATCCCTACAATGTTGTCACGATATATTGTCAGAAATATTGAGAGGTTTGTTGTTGTGTTTTGCTTTGTGATGTTAATCCTGTCTCGCTTCAATAAAACAAGTGTTGGTTTCCTTTAGTTGTGAACTTTACTCATCTCCATGTTTAACAGTATTGACATGACTCAGGAATGTCTTATAAGCGCTCCCCACTCTTCTCATGAAATTGCTTACTTGACAAGATTTACATGGTGAGTCGCGGATATTTATGCAGAGTCAGCACAACATCCTTTCTGGTTTGTGACCCAGAGGTGAAATGTTCTTTTAAAGAAAACAACAGAAGCGTCAAGACCTCTCTGTGCTAAAGTTGATCAATAAAAACAAATCCATAGAAGTGTGCTTTATGTGAAATGAGTCATAGCAGCCAGTAGAGGGAGGTGTGGTGTAACTATACTCTTTATGACTTCTTTCTGATACTTAAAAAGCAATTGGAACACAACCATTACTCAGCATTGTAGAGTACATTAGGCTTTGGCTCTCTTTTCAAATAAATGCTTACCTATGATTACTGACAGGCAGAAAAAATGCAGAGTCTTGGTTTGACCCTCTTAGAAAATGGGCAAACCCAGAGACCTGAGCATAAGGAAGAATTCGATATTTGCTGCAATATCCCTCTTTTTCCAGCTATACCATGATGGCAAGGCAAGGCTAATTCATCCTGATGCAAAAGGACAATCACTCCTGGATTATCAGTGTGATAATGTCACGACTCAAAGGGAGCTGGGAGGATTAGCTCATTCCGAACACTTCCAAGTGACATTTTGAAGAAATAGAGGCTTAATCACCTCGGTGTAGTGACAATAATGGATACTAAACCCAGAGGCATTGCTGACGATCACACTGACAGGTTGTGATAAAGACCTGTCAAAGCTCTCCGCACTCATTGTCCTTGAGTCAAAACGCCAAGTGTCGCTCTCACATTGAGATTAAAGATTACTTTGGGATGTCAAAGTGACCCACCTTAGTTCCTGGGAGTCCTGGGAGCCCTGGCTCTCCCTGGGGCCCGAGGTATCCAGGCTCACCCTGAAAGAAATAGAAAAATAATGTATTATTCCCCATGATCCATACGTCCGCTACAACAAAAACGCAAGATGCATGGACAAACTTATTCCAAACGACAAGCATGCATTTCACAAACACAAATTAACACTTTGTTAATTTATCCACTGGTTTCACATACATTAAAGGTCACCTATTATGCAAAATCAACTTTTTCATGTCTTTTCTACATCAACATGTGTCCCCTCTGTGTAAAGAGATTCTGAACGTTTCAGGTAAAAGGATTCGCTCACTTTTTGCCCTGATCCATTTCTATAAAAACCTGTCTGAAAATGAGCTGATCAGATTTTGGTCACTTTATGATGTCATAACGATTTTTTGGCTTGTGTAACCATTAGCCAATCACCAACCAAGGTAACCCCCCCCCCCCCCCACCTTATCACCTGAATCTCCTCCTAGAGCAATATTGTGTTATTTTTAACCAAATATCTCGCAGAGGGGCGTGGGGAATGGCTCCTTATTTTCATCTAAAGTAACAGACACAGAATCAGCGCTTTTGAAACAGGGCTGAAACAGAGGGGATTATGGGATGCTGCAATGCATGATCTGTTTGGTATTTCGAGCAAAACACTTCAGAGATATGTTTTATATATATCTGAGACCTATTATATATTGATATAAAACAGTATAATAGGGGACCTTTAATGACTCCCTCTCACGGGCTTTAATAGACGTTACGACTGACCTTGTTAGAAACTCATCACTAGAAGTGTTCTGTTAAAGTGTGCAGGCCACCTCAACGTCTTTGCACTTGCACTCATGAGCTTCCAGTATGAAGTGTGACGCCTGATTCACGTTTGATTTGTGAAATAACTTAATTGCTATACCGTCTGTTCCCATCCAGGGAACTGTGGAAACCTCAGCAGAGGTAATGGACACTCGCCGCTCAAACTTTAAAAAATATGATTGGATACACAGCCAAGAATCAGCAGAACAAAGTGCAAGCTCAGAAGGCGAGAGTGCAACGTTAGCAAAAATATTGTTAGAATCCATCAAGCAGTCAGGCCACTTAAGTAAGAACAAGAGTATATAAATGTCAAATGAAAGGCCTTTTGGTTTTACAAGGCCAGCACATTACAAGAGAAAGAAAAAACAGCAACAAGCATTATATCATCATGCTGCGTGAAAATTCCCTGCATTCAGGTGATATATAAAGCTAATAACCCTGTGTTTTTTAAGCATAAGATGGCAGCGAAATAATACAATGTCTCACCCTGTGCTGTGATTTATTTATTATACATTAAATAAGCAAGTAAAACAAGTAGAAATCTAAATTATTTAATAAAAATGAAACTTGTCTTCTTAACGAGCAGAACCGTTTTGACACATTTTGTAGTGAGTCTCTTGTAGCTACGTCCAGGAAGTCAAATCAAGTTGTCCAATCATTCATTTTAAGACCTCTAGCATCGAGTCTTTGGTCTCAGTTAGTTTGAGCCACAAAATGTACATAACTAATATTATTATTAACATAAGAATGTCACCCTTAGTTAGCCGACATGATGCCAGAAGAATCAATAGGTCATCGCCAAGATGAGAACTCTCATTATATACACGTTTGAGAAAGTCTATTTTATTCAACTGTGGAAAAATCATAGGTCAAGTCTCCACCATTAGAAGATTGCGCCTATATTTTCAACAGCTTTCAGTGTTCCTTATTGGTTTGGATGGATTTGAAAAGGGTCATCTTGCGTTCTAATGCTACTAGATTCCTATTATATCAGTGGCATAAAATGGTCAATAATATCCTGTATTGCGATTATTTCTGGGAAAATATATCGTCCAAGTTATCATAGGAGGCCTACTTGCAGTCTTGGTGCACATCCCACACAGCAGGAAAAGCAAGATTAAGAGACTTGATGAGAGACATGACGATGGGCTGGCTGGGTTTAGGATGGACAGGACAACAGTGGGGGGGGGATGATCGGGGATAGAAACAGCGAAGCATTTACCTTTATCCCTGGGAGTCCAGGCAGCCCTGGAAGTCCTGGCTCTCCCTACACAGGAAGAGTGTGACATGTTACAGCCAAGCCAAGCTAAGCTGAGTCGAGCCTCATTTGGGGTTCTATTAGCTCTAGACTTAATTTTGTGTTTGTGTTTTCCTCTGGCTATCAAGCTGCTGAATCTCTGCGACTGTCACTAGCGGTAAGCACTAGCAGAAGGTACTGCACATGCACTTGCAAACCAACTCATGCAGCCGTGGCTTGACAGCGTGATTAGTGCTGGTTATAACACGCAACCTTTCACAAAGTGCATTGGATTGTTCTTTGAATTGTATTGGTTTGGGCAGGTGTGAAAAGTTCTGGTTTCTGGAAGCAAATGCTGTCAGATATTTTGGATTAGAGAAGCTGCTGCGCGGCTTCAAGGTCATTAGAGTTTGGCGCTGCTGGACTTTTCCCTCCGCTACCAAGGTCGGGTCATCGTCAAGCTGAGAACTCTCATTATATGCACGTCTTTTTTATTCAACTGTGGAAAAATCAGAGGTCAAGTCTCTGCCGAGGAGTACTGCAAGACTTCCAAAACAAAACGTCTGGATAATTTAATGCTCCATTAGGACCATTTTATTTATGGCATACGCAAAGAAATGATTAGCGCCGCAGAAGAATGATGAACTCAGGGGATCAGAGAGAGAGAGGGCTGCACATTTCCATTGTGGCGAAACGAAGGCATTGTCAAACTAATGAATAAAAGACTGCTACCTCCACGACACTTGAATGCCACCCAATGGTAGTATTTAACGGGGAGCGACAACTCAATCTCACGATGGCCATTTTGAGGAGAAATACAACGTGTAAGTGTGTCAGCACAAGCAGAAGGGCTGTAAAATGAGAGATAAGATAAAGCAGTCATAAAATAGTTAGTGTTGTCTTTGCAGTATGGCATGGAAAAAAAACAAGACATTTGCTAAAAGCCCCTTCTGTCTGTCTGGAAAAAGAGAGGGGGGATTAATGGGGCGCAGCACTTGGGATTAAAAACTGTAATTAGATGGGCCAAGGGACGAGTAATGGCTTTTATTTTTGCAGGAAAATAGCTGCTCTTATGCTGCATGCTTGCTTTATTAGTTATCAGCAACTGCTTCCTTAACAATGTTCTTCCCTGTGTCAGACACATGAATACAAATGGCTAAGAGAGAAGATTCATCCTAAGAAATATGGCTTGAAAAAAACATATTCAGACTGATGTAAAGCAAAGTAATGGGAGCACCTGCATGTTTGAGACTCAAGACAAGTACAGCGAACAATTAAATGGTGCAAAAAGATCCAAAAGATGTATCCAAGTGGGGTATGAAGTGGGGCTTAATGCTGCATGGCTCAAAACTAGTTTCAAGCCAAAGTGAAAGTAAAATCAGAATCAGAATCCCTTTATTACTCAGAACTCTGTGATGAACCAAAAAACTACCAACATCATTACATTTCTGATTTCATTTATCCAAACTATTTTATCTCGCCCAACAGACTCCAGTTTCAACTTAAAAGTTAACGCTTCTTTAGATGTATCAATTCACAGTGGTAAGAAATATCTTCATCCAGTCACTGAATGTTGAGAAGGACCTGTTGCTGAATATCAAGTATTTTACTCCAATAGTGACGTATCAGCAGAGAAAGCTATATCAATGTTAGACATATGGCTACCATACTGCTACGTTCACTTATATTTATGTACTATTTTACTGCGTATGAAAGAGAAATGTGTAGCAGTTATTACCTTTGTTCCACCTCGTCCAGACTCTCCAGGTTCTCCCTGTAAAAGATGCAAAGAGTTTTCTTTACTACTGATTTGTTTTAGGGACTGGGTTGAAGCAGCTTTTTGTGAATGCACTACTAAGACTATGTGTTTCTGAGTTTTTTGAGCAACTTTTAATTGATAAATAAGCTAACATAAGCTTCATGTAACAGGGTTATTCCCATGCTCTCTATAGGTTGTAAGAGCTTATCAACTGCTAACTTCAGAGTTCAAATTGCAAACTAATAAAGGAAGACATACTACATAAAAATGCAGTTTGGGGTTAAAAACCCACTCATGTGGAAATAATGTATAAAGTCGATAAAAGGTTTCCATAATTTGTCATATTAAGAGGATATTGAGCTTGAGAACATATGCTACTGCTCAGTTAGCTGGTTAACAGTTTGTAAAGCTACTTTACGTAAATATATATATATTTTTAAACTAACGTCTACAAAAGAAAAAGTTTGAGTATTTTTTTTATTGAGCAGCAATTCAATGTATAAACAGATGGTGATCCTCATAAAGATGAAGAAACTGAAGTTAGCTTAGCTCTCACCTTGATGCCAGCTGCAGAGGAGCCTGCATCTCCCTAAGAACAAGATACAAAAATACAAATGGCACAATAGAGGTTATTATGTACGAAATGAACATTATTCAGCAGCGCAAATATGAGTGAAGCCAATTTTTAGTGAACAATGCAGAACATCATTTTGCATTCATGGAGCCATCAGCATGAACGTGTGTGGAATCTCTTTAGAAAGAGCTAACCTAAACTGTGCTCCGACTGAATTTACGTTCTCACTAAAGTTTGAGACGGCATTTTTAGTGCTGGGAATCACTCCATTGTTTTCACACTGTCAGACTGCAGCTGCATACTGGTGATGAGAGGACGTGTAACACTAGAAGAAATACAACAGTATGTGAGGTGAAAGATATAGTGGGCGACCATTTTTCTTTTCATTGCATCTGAGCAGGTAGGGAGCTTCTTATATCCCATTTTTCCAGCAAAGTCCTTCCAAACATCCAGGCTCTCTGCTATGCACTGCTGCAGTGTACAGTAAAAACATACATAAAACAAGGGGCCAATAAGCGTAATTATGGGCGGTTGGTGGGAAAGGGGAGTGGGGGGGGGGGGGAGGCTGGGTCTGCAGCTCTGGTGTGGTTTCACTGCACATACGCCTTGCGCTCAGAAGTTGCTGCAGGAATGCCTCTCGGCCTCAGCTTTTTATGGGAGTCATTACCATGCATAGCACACAAGGCATGTTTAATTGCGGCATTTTCTTTTTGCAGACAATAAACTGCGTTACTGTTTACAGCTGGGCTTTTGTTGCATGCCTCTATCCATACCTTAAAAACATATCATTTCTGTTTTATATGGGCATTTTCCTATATATTTTATTGAAGTTACAAAGGATCTAATGAACTTTTACAGTTTGCTTGTAAACAGCCTCCTCACGTTACATTATCCAGGATAAATTAAAGGCTTTCAACTGCTTTTTTTGAGTAAATTCTACATCGATGTCATGATGCGGTTGAACAGAAAATGATAATAAAACAGGAAACTTTACACAGAGGCCCATTATTCTGACTTTGTTTGCATCTAATTGTTTCAACAAAACACACATCAAAGTCAGAGACAGTTTACACCTGTTGCTTTTTTGGCTGGGATGGATATGTAAGAATGCCTCACATCTGCGCTTAATCATTACATCTCATACAAACTACAAAAGATCTCACCTCATAATGAAGCTGGGGACTATATGTAAGCACAATTTACTTTTTTTCCCATTATTAATCTCAGCAGGGTGAAACCATAAGGAGGTAATAATGTGGAAAATAAATATTTACAGAGCAATTTACACACTTTTAATCAAAAAGCCCCCATGTGAAAATCAGAGGATGCTACAGTTAACACTTTACTTCCCTGCTGCGTAACCCCAGTGAATCACGTGCAAGTTTTAATCTCTTCTAAATGAAATACCATGAGATGGAAAAAGTGATGGAGTTGGGAGGTGAGCTGAGGTGTGGCACAGAGTGCTGAAATGTCAAAGTTTGGCCAATTATTACAGCTAGGCTCCAGCCTGAGATCTAACCAGTGAGTGAATGTCACCACAGCTTCATTATAAGCGCCCAGAGCTGTCGCTGCATATATCTGCCACCTGAAGATAATACCAGCATGAAGATCTCATATTTATACATGCCATTTTCCAGCTGTTTGCCTCATGAGAGCAAATAAAATGTGAGTGAATTAATCTGCGAGCAATGAAGTCGTGACAAATGTAATTATTAAATGTCACCGCAGCCCTATGAAACAAGACTCCTACTTCACTTTATAATCATTGCTAAAGATGACCATATTCAGCGACCTCAGCCTAATATTCAGCCTCGTATATCTGAAATTATGCAAGGCAGTACAGATTATGATTGGCTCCCGGGGCAGAAAGGCTCTTGCCAGTCGCTGAATTGCAGCCAGTTCACAAGAGCTTGGACCGGATCTCAGGAATCAGAAATGATACCGCCCGCTGGGCCACACCAGCAGAGCCAAGAGCCCGGCCTGACAGTTCCCAGGAGTTTGTTTTTCTACAAACCTTTAAAGAAATGTCGCTCTTTAACAAGAAGAGTCACAGTTAATTTCACACCTAGTTAAATACTTAGGCAGAATGCATCCGAGGTAAATGGTTTAGAACTAAAGCTTTTAACTGCCTGATGATTTGATTTAAATGAGGCCAGAGACGGACAAGCAACAGGCCGTGAAACATTTCTCCTCACAGATGATGATTGCTAATGGAAGCAACACAGCAGGTACATAATAATGTATACTTGAAAAGAGTGGTGGAAACTCACAGAGCATTTACTCACATCTCTAAAAGATGCTATACTATACTCTCAACGACACTTAGTCTAGATTTTGCATCCAAATAAACAATATCCCAAAATGAAGCATTATTATATGTTAAAAAACCTTGTTGTTGAGCCCCTCATAAATCTGGACTTGTTTTCCATAAAACAAATCTTTATTTATGAAGATGCACCATGTGAGCACATTATACTGTAAGTGAACATATTGCTAACTATTTTCAAAAAAGGTCCCCTCCATACAAATATTGTATCATTGCAAGACTTTGGTATCTCTATAGCTCAATAATGAACATGTGATATCTTAGTTCAACCCACACAAAACTGTTGCTATTTTTTGGGAGGTTTATGTTCCTGACTTTTTGTTGGCGTGAACCGGGCAACCAGTGGAGATTCCAGGAAGTTACTGGTTTTGGCCAATAAATCGTTTGGCATGTAAGCACCATGGATGTATAATAAGAACGTAAGCACCCATAAAACGGTGAGATATTGGCTAACTAAATGAGCTTTAGAGGTGTTGGCAGGGTGGATTTTGTTAATCTTTGGGACAGAATTAGCCAAGAGGTTTTTTTCTGTTTCCTATTTTTATGCTAAGCTAAGCTAACTTTCTGCTCGCTCTAGCTAGTAGCATCCATCTTCTCATCTATCGCTCGCCATGAAGGCAAATAAATTACCTTCTCAAAATGCTAGACGCTTAAACAGTTTGCAATGATTTAAGGGCATACCTATGAGGATAAAAGTAGTTACATAATACAATCATATAATGCTTAGTCATTTTGAGTTTGAGGCTTTAGTACTTTCTTCTAATAATGTGTATTTTTTTAATATTTCTTTTAAATACAGGACTTTAAGTTGTAAGAGAGTAGAGACTTACACTGTGGAACTAGTTAAGTTAAGGATCTGAGTAAAACGTGTTATTTAATACAATAATATATTGCATAATGAGTATTTTTAAGTGCAATTTTTTCCTTACCAAAGTACATTCTTCTTGTTCTTCTACTTCTACCTTCTCGACTCCAAATAAACTCTCCACTAAAGCACAAAACTTCCTGGTTTGATGATCCAGAGCGTAAAAGATTGTGTCTTTTAGGATGTGAGGGAGAGAGATTTAAGCTGGTGTCTGAGAGTGAGCGTGCATGTCCTGTCGTTTAGTGTCTTTCACACTCCGCAGATCTTCCGCCGTCAAAACAATCTCCCTTTGTCTTGTGGAAAGCCTGTCTGGCTGCCTTGCACTCCCATTTATCTCCCCCCTCCCTGAGGTCTCTCTGCACACCATACCAGAGCTTTCACCGCCTCACCTCTCAACCCGTGTTACCACAATTTCCCCGCAGTGCGTGCTGTGCATTGTTAACTTTGGCATCTTCACTATAGAAGACGAAAGATGCTCTCCTCTCCTCCGTCTTCTCTACTCTGGTTTCCTCTTCCCCTAGCATAGCAATAATATCAGGGAAGATCATGTCAAAAACGCTGATGACAGGAGGCTCCATCTTTGTTGTATCCGACATATGTTAAACTCATCTAATCAGTTACATCTTGATTGAAAAACAATGATTCCTAACATATGTTATATACTATTTTACAACCTGAAGTCATCACTCTAAGACAATTTATCTATTACAATCCTGAGCATTTCCAGGTCTTTACACTACTTTCTGTCTCTTTTTATTGCACAATACAAGAGTATGCTCTTGAAGAATGAATGGCAGGTTACTGGCTACAGAAGTCTGAATTCCCATGGTACTCTATTCCACTTTTTCTTTTGCTCTCCTGCAGCGAGATTCCGTTTTTTCCCCGCTTTTACTGCGTTGAGGTAGACCAGATCAAAGCGTTGCTCAAGCTGCAAAGTTTTATCTCCCTCCTTTTTGTTCACTCATTTTCCACACATGATATCCTGCATCTGTTTCCCTCAAATGGTGTCTTTTTTGGCAGCAGTCTTAAAAGCCAAGCACCCATAAAGTGAGAAGTTATCAAAAGTTGTTCTCAGCTGAACAGCAATAAATTGGCACTGACGTTTTGAGTACACTGCTTCTGCCGCGATGCTGGTCTTTCAGTTGTGTTTTGTTTTTATAGCTAACTCAGTGTTTCCAACAAAAAGCCTGATAAAGGAAGCTCAGTGTTTTGTGTCTGCTGTCGGTTCTAAGCAATTGTGTTATCGTTTTTTGGCAAATTTGGGAATAATCTTTTCCCAGAAGTACGAGCAATCATGGGCTGTATCCATATTTTCAAGACTTGTCTATTCCAATCCATAATTGTTTGCTTTCTGAATTGCTTTAAAATGAGTTTGAAGGGTAAAGAGGCCACTATTGTGTTTTGAGGTTGCCAAATACAAATATGGCTGTGACCTATTTTAACAAAAATAATAACAGCAAAGGCAGCTTCCAAGACCCTGATAGGATTCATATTCTGCTTCTGGACACCATGTCTTACAATAAACAAAATCTTTCCTCAAAACAAAAGCTTTTTGGACAGAAACATGAATCTATTACTTGAGCTCTGCCTTTTGTTGGAAAATGGATCCAAGCTTGACAAGCTGTCTTGATGATAAATGCTCCCAAATTAATGCAGGAGGCACCGGACCAGAAAATGTAGCGTCAGCAAAGCATAGCAATTAAGTTCACATTAAGCGCAAAGGAGGCATTAAGTGCTGGGATGATGGCTGTGTTGCCACGGCTACAGCCCCGTGGCACCTGACTTTGCTTCTTCCTCTCCACACATCTCCTCTTAGATGGCTAACTTTAATTTTCAATAATGTTTCCAGCCAGGCTTTAGGTAGGTTCCAACAAATAAACAGAAAGAATAAAAGGTAAATGACATACCTTCTCCCCTATATCACCTTTCGTTCCATCTTCGCCCAAATCGCCCTGCAAGGAAATCACATTCAGTTTACAGACCACAAGAATGTGTCACATGAAAAATATATTTTACATGATTGTTTCAACAAGCACAGCACACAGTAGGACTTTGACAATTCTCCCCTTTGCTGTGATTGACTGCTGTGTAAAACATTGAATGGAGACAAAGCCAAGAATATCTTTGCAAAGACAAAGTCCCATTGCCGTACAAGTTCAATTCACTCTGGTCACTAACTGAGCCACCACACATAGTTCAATGAAGATTACTCCATACTGAAATATCTTAACATTTATATAATGACTTTTCTTCTTATTATGTGATAAAAAAAAAAAAAGATTTCCTCTAGGACGAAGGACAGGGCAACATTTTTTTAACCAATTTTGAGATTTATGGCCAAATAACTGCATATACATTTCATTCAGGCATTCAGCCTCAGCTGTATTTTGGTTGTAGAATGCATCAACTCCACCAAGAAGTGTATCTTATTGATTTGTCTGATGTTTTTTGAGCAAGGTAACGGAAAAACTTCAGGCTGGATTTTTAGGAAACTGTGTGTAAGGTGTAGCATTGGTGTAGGAAGAATCCATTATATAATATTAATGTGCTTACATGCTAAGATGGTGAACATGTAAGTATTTTTCGTACACGCTGATGTTTTGCCTCACAGTGTTGTTACAATTGCTTGAAAACCAGTTGATTCTATATTAAGAACATTACAGCCTTACATGTTTCTAATTAAAAAGGTGAACAAATCCAGGGATATAGGAAAAAGGGTTGTGTCCTGGTGGAAGATGTTATCCTCATGATGTCAGAGTTCAAATAAAATGAGCCTACTGTAATAAGCTTCTCAAACAATCAGTTTTGATCTGTTAAAGGCTGGCACTGCTCTCTTGAATGTTGCCTTCTGGCTCTTTTCTTTAGGATCCGAAGCCAACAACAACAGTTCATGTTAACATGTTTGGCATCCCACAACATAAAAGCTCATTGTACTTTGGGGTGATTTTCTGTGCTGTCTTTGGCAGCGCCTCAGACTTATCTTTCACTTTTCATACATTCACAGAGTTGTATGTTTAATAATAGCCTAATCAATTGTGATTCATACAATCTTGAGCCAAATATTTAAAATCAAAGGTTGTTTCCTTGTGGAGAATATTATAAAAGGAACTAAATGGGCATACTGTAACAACCGCTATAACGCACATCATTGAGTTAATCAATTTAGAAGCATTGTCATTTTTCTATCTATCAATCTATAGGTTTAAATGACTAATAAAATAGAGTAAAAACATACTTTCTCCTATTCGCCTGCTGGCTTTTTACTTAAAAAACAAAGCAAGAATAACAGTCTGTGTTAACAAATATTTCTCCTTTTGAAATACAAAACATATTTTGTATTTTATAGCTACAACATTAGGGAAGGAACTCTACATGACTAAACAGATAGAAAATAAAATATAGTTTATTCTGTCTAATTTTAGCTTTTTTCAAACTATGAAATAATGGATATTTTTCCTTTTTCATTCCTAAAAGGACTGCCACCAACTCATGCAACCTGAAAGAAGTTTAAGGCATGATGACATGGCTTTGTTTTAACCTGATGAACCTTATCTCACACCAAAGCAATACCCTTTTAGGGTTAGTCAAACATAAATGATTTATGTATCTGCTCCCATATTTAATGGGTACTTCCTTGACCCATGCTAAATTATTCCACCAGGTTAAACCAAAATTGGGTCAGTAGCTTTTCAATAATCCTGCTGACGGACAGACAAACAGAGCAGAAAACATTACCTCCTTAGCAGTGATTATAAGAAATAGTGTTATATAGATACATGAAGAGGGCTTGCCTTTCTGATTTTAGGAAAAACAGACCAACAACTAATAACGAATGTCTGAAGGTCAGTTTTGTGTTGGATTAAAAAGCACTGAGTCATGTCTCCCCATCCCGTTAGTGTTCACACCTCGTGCCGCCGCCCAACAACAGCGAATCAGGGCACCATTGGGATTAGGCAATGGAGAACATAAGGCAGCTTTTCCTCACTGAGGCTATTGTGTGGGTTCTTTGGTCTCCCGGAGTTGGAGAAATTGGGTTCAATGTTGTGACTCACAGATTCAATGACGGCCAAATCACAGAAGGGTGTCACCTCTGAAAAAACAAGCTGGAGTTGTGTGGATTAAAGGCAGAGCTGCCGCCTTGATGGCTGTTCTAGCCCATGCTGGGATATCAAGACTGATGCTAACAATAATGTTTTCTGATCTGAATTAGCTCTTTACCTTTTCACCTCGATCTCCCATTTCACCCTGTTGGGAAAGAAAGCAGAGTATTAGACACAGAACAGCTCACAGGGAGTTGGCTTCAGTTCGGGAATTATTGCAGCCACTACAGGTCAGATAATATCTGGGGTTGAATTCATGTTAGATTATGGAAATGATCTTGTGTTATGGCTGCTTTTCCCCAGAGAGACCCTCAAGTAGCAGCCTTTTGAAGTACTTTTGAAACATGCAGAGTCATGACGTCAAATTGACAGGCCAGAATGCTACCTACAATGTAGATTAATTAGAATAATATATGTAGCCACCAATAGAAGATTCAATTACACAGATGTTGAGGTAAATGTTCTTATAGTAGAGAATACGGAGCATGCAGACATGGAATACAACAGATGAATAAAGAGGTATGTTTCTAGAGAAGAAGGAAAAACAATATGTAAAAAAATCAAAGTAAAATCTTGCAAGAAAAGGGTCAAAAGGTTGAAAAGTGATATAATCTTTTGAGGGAAAGGAAGAAAAATTAAGAAACTTAAAATAGAAAATATATCATCTCCATGAATTTACAAAATTAAGAGGGCACAGAGTTTGTGCACCAGACCTTAGCTCCGGGGACTCCGTCCACTCCTGGGATGCCAACATCCCCCTATGGACAGCATAACATACACACAATGGCTGTTTCAGCAGTGTGAACTCTCTTTTAAGGTCAGCAGATACTCAAAGTGTCATATTATAGTCGTTATAGAGAGATAACCTCTAACCTGAGCAGAGTTCACTGCACAGGTGTTGTACATTTGCAGGGTAGTTGATAACAGAGCAGTAGATAAGATAGATGCTATCTCTATTGCAAGGAAAGGCCTTTCCACATGTTACTGTACAACCACTACTGAATAATTTCCATGTATAAGTCCAAGGAGAAGAGGATAAACAGGCTGATTAAAAGCTTAATTATCTCTGGTTTGGTTCTCATTATGAGCAAGAGAAGAAAGCCAGGTCCTTGTGATGAATGATGTCTGTTCTCACAGCGACTCTGGGTCTGGATCATGGTTCTCTGTGGGTCTCACAGAGGAACCAGCCTTAGTCTGTGTGATGCCAAGAACAGTAAACCTGTTGACCTTTGGAAACCTACAAACCATCATTAGTCTTTTAGAAGAAGCAGGTATGCCTCAACCAACAGAGACCTTTAAGAGGATGCTGATACATTTATAATATTTTATAAAATAATATTTGTTCTCAAATAATGACTTTATTACATTCTTTTTTATTATAAATATTATTATTATTAGTTTGCATGCTTATGAGTCATTTGAGTAAAAGCGTGAGTAATCCACCATTACAGAACACATTGAAATCCTAAGGATCTCCCTCCAACTCAATTTAATGTAGCTAGGACGTGACATTTATATACATTAAATTAAATTCATATACATGGCAATGGGCTTCTCGATACTGGAAAAAACAACTGGGTTAATGGAAGCACTTTTTTCCATTTTCTTTTCCAGTGTCATGTTTCCAAATGCTTTGTTTTGATGACGCATAGTGGGAATACAATTGTGCTACATTATGATCTCAGTACGATGAGTGTCTGTTTAGCTCCACAATGGTGGGGAAGCTCTACAGGAATAATCATCTATCAGCCCACATATGGGAGTCGTTGCCAAAATGATGATGGAGTCTGATTAAAAACTCCTAAACTGGGGCTGATAAGCTTTGCATTAGCAATCTTCCTATTTGGTGGATATCTATGTCAGATCAATACGAGGTCTGCCTCACTGCTTTAGACTTCAACTTTCTGCATGAGTGACAGTAACATACCGTAACAGATTCTCTTTTTATATATGTATTGAACAGAGTTTTATTTCATGCTGGCATCCCCCCCCTTAGCAGAAGTATGGAATTAGGCTTCTCCAGAGTCACTATAGCTCCCATTCTGTTTCCTATTACTGACATGCGTGCCTCTGCGCTCATATCTTTTTTAAAAGCATACTTGAGAAAGATGGCGCCTCTCGAATCAACTCCCAATTTATTCTTGTCACTCATACCGTTTGTTTTGGAATAACTATCCTTTTATACCCATTGTGAAACACCTGCACTGTGTCTTCTTTAATCGGTTTGAGAATGAAACACTGAAGTGAGAGCAGATTCTCAGGCAGCTGCAAATGGTACTTTGTGGTAAGAACCCGCGGATGCAGCCTGGGAGAATTCTCTCCAGTAAAAGCGGTTTGAGATTGTCAGTTTGCATGGCAGAACTTTTCTAATATGAAAAGTTCAACACATGGCTAAAAAGACTAATGAAAACTTTAAGTGATTCTTCTGAAGATAAACCCCTTTCAGGTGTGAATGGGAGGAAGCTTTCTGAACTTTTTTATGTGTGGTATTTTCAGAGGGAAGCGTTTCACCAGGCTGAATCTACAGATTTAACTGACACTTAAGCATTATAAACCTGTGGTAATTTAACAACATCCTTCTGAACATGACATCGTCCTAAGCATTGAAACATTTTTCCTGCTGTTGCTTTCCTACTGATGCACTCCTGTCTTTATTTGGTTTTTTATCAAGTTTCAATTTGCAGAATGACAATAAAATATATCCTCAAAATAACATGTTTCCCTTGCAAATCCACTTTAATTCTAAAAATCCTCTTTTCCCTATAGATTACCATTTTACAACTGAAAGAGATTAAAGGTTTTGTAAATACAGACTATTTTGCAGCATTTCCACTGTAAATAAAAAGCAGTCTAAACATCAAGAAGAAGGCTAAGGTCAAATAATTTACTGAATTGTGCATATTTCTTTATTTGAATCATCTCACCTTCAGTCCACCAACACCTGGATTTCCAGCAGGCCCGAGAAAACCCTGAGGAGGAAAAAACACAAAGGCTTTTAGGTGTTTCATCACATCTAATCACATTGCATTGAACTGAACAATCAAATATACAGATGACAATGTACTTTGCAGTTCCACTTCTTAGACATTGTCCATTGGTCTCAACCAGTCTCAATACATTAGAGAAAGTAATATTCTGTTAAAAATGTTTAATAAAATAAAACTATATGGCATTACCAGTGTGTGCTGATCTTACGAATCAAGCCAGAACAACTCATATTTTAAGATGTGTTACGTTATGGAGGATGCAGTCACTAACTCTTATGTAAACAGAAGAGAAAGGGAAAAGAAAAAGCCTTTAAAAAAAGATACTGTTAATCATATGTTTGCATGTAGTCCTCTAACTTACTAACATGATTTAGACTGAGGTTTCAGTTTGAATGAACTCCCACTCTCTTGTGGTTTGCTTATGTTGGCTATTTGTGCTTCTTTTCGGAATAAAAATGACTTATTGTTACCATGGTCACTTTTATAGATGGATCAGAGATGAGTGAAACCATGATACATTGACTTATAAGGAAATATTTCTTATACATCCAAATATATACCTTGGGTTAAGTTTTTATTATACATATACATTCAAAAACATGGCACTCTGATATATGATCTTACTTTTTTACGAGGGTTTGCTGCTGATCGTGCTTATTTTATTTGTATTCCTTTCTTTTTAATGGTTTAACCTTTGATATTTTGTTTCTTTAAGAGGTGGATAAGTATGTATAACTCATTTTCGAAAAAGTAGTTACAAGTACTGCATTTAAACTTCACGAAAAAGTACAAAAATGATTAGCATCAAAAGATACTTACAACTAAATAAAAGATCCACATTACAGAATGGTATTATATTACAATTATTGCTGCATTACTGCCCATTTAGCATGCACCTGGAAATAAAATGTGCTGTATAAATAAAGTTGTCATGCTTTTTGTATCATGTCATGACACCAAATCTCTCCTCAAGGTGATGAAACAGTGCCCCCCTCTGCTAACTACACCAGCAGTATATCTAATGGAGCTGCCTCAGGCCTGGCTTATGAGTCATTAACACGGTGGTGTGTCATCATTGACCCCTCCACACCCCCATTCCCCCCCCCTCCCCCACTGACGGGAGGCCCTGCCGACAGATGACAGCAGACAGGAAGTGTCTGATTGGGTTACACTGAACAAACACCGGCAGCTACCTGATGGCTGGATAGCGTTCACATCTGTTCCCCACATCAGCTCCTCTGTTCTCCGTCTCCTGTCTCGTGTTGTCCGAGCTTTAAATCTCCTCTCGTCTGTTTACCTGCCCTGACTGTGGCCCCGCATCACTGATCTCCAAGTAAACATATTACACCCAGCATATTTTTGTACATGCTATTTTTGCAACTGTAGCACAGTTCTGATCAAATTCAAAACATCACTGTGCTGCTGGAGAAATTGCACATTGTAGAGGATTTGGAATATTATCACCATCATTCCACACTCTATAAAACGTGTGCAGTATATGTATGTATGTGTGTATGTATACAGTAGATTTGTATGAGTATAGGTATTTGCTGCATGTATGTATATGCATTACACGCATATATATTCATCTAACAATGTTCCTGATGAATAATCGTGTGTATGAGGCTCACTGGCAGTGGATGTAGGGGATTACTTTGGTCGTTGTTATTGTTTTTTTTGTGTTCTCTGTAATTATTATTCTCTTTGTACATACAATCAGTACAGACCACCGTCTCATTTGTATGCATATATTTTGCTTTCCATCTCTAAATGACAAACACTGTTTATGCATTGTCGAAACGCAATAAAAAGATTTTTGATCAGAGAATATTATCACCATCAACGTTTAGCTCGGTTCCTCATAAGCCTTGCTCATCAGGAAGCAATTGTGTCTGTAACCGGGTAACATCCCCCTTTCACAATAAAAGTCCTAGACATATACACGGAATTTGACTAATCCCAACAAACTAACTTATAAATAGATTGACCTTCTTGTTCATGTACAAAGTAATGGTGGCAACAACAATTGGAAACAATAAGGGAGGCTTTTTCCCCCTTAAAAAAGCTCATAACGAAAGCTCTTATTCAGTGTGAAATGTCCTCATGCTATCATCCAGTAGGTAACTAAGTTAGAAAATCCGTTATAATTTGATTTGAGCGAAACCCTAGAAACTGTTCTCTGGACTTACCTTCTGCCCTGGTGGCCCCTCAGGTCCCTGTAAAGGAGAACAAGACAAAGGAAAAGAGAGTAAGTGGAAGGGAAATGGAACAAAAAGACGTCAGATGAAAATATGATTTCCTCAGCTGAGAGACTGGCAAGGCGTCAGCAGGGATTTCAGACAGTGAGCTCACACCCGTCAGGGAGAACGGGATCACAATCAGTCCCTTGTTTTATTCTCTTTTCATTGAGCTGCACCATAAACCTTATGTTAATCTCTTACTTTATGTGTTGTGGCCAATGTAAAACTTGTTCCACGTCCTACAGTCCAACACATAGAGGTCCATTATCTAGATGTTGGAAACCTTTTATAGCCAATACGTTAAACAAAACAGAAAAACAAGGTGCCATATCTGCAACTGATATTCGTAATGTGATGGATGTGTCTGGGAGGACAGTTTCTATTTTCAACCTGCTGTTCACCAAAGTGAAACCAGAAGCCATGTTGGACCCTCCTGCACTAGAAGAACTGATTTACGAACTAGAAACCAACCTGAATGTTAGTTTGCTTCATGTTGGCTTCGCAAGACTCTGCACTATTACTGTACTCGCAGCAGTTCATCAACACCTTTGCGCCTGGCCGTTATGACACCTCGCGTTAGCCAACATTTTCTCACTGTCAGCTCCGGATCGACAGCGAATGGTGTTATTTGGCTCATCAGGCAGACCTCATACCCCACAAGCTCTCGTCAACGACAGCTCTCCTCGCTGTATTCATGTTGATGCAGTATAATTGGCGAAACCTATATGATCCCCTGATGAGTTTTTGCGCCTTTATTCCAAAAAAGCCATCAAGGACACACTCGGGTTGAAAAGTTTGACTGTCAGTGCACATTTCTGTGAAGAAGAAGTGTAGTTTGGTGGCGGCCAACTTATGCCTTTCGGCCAAATCACCACCGGATGCTTGGCTTAGCTAAAGGTTGCACAATAATGGCCAATTCTCTGAGAATAAACCTGGATCTTTCCATATCTTTTTTGATCGTTTTTGATCACCAAGTAACTGAAGCACACAATATTCCCATTCTTAATTTCCAAATTGTATAAAACTTGCCTGTTAAAATCCCTGCAGCAACAAGTTCTCACATTCACAGAAACGGGCCTCACAGTTGCAGCTCATTTATGGTGCATTCCATCTAACAAATACCTCAATGAACAACTTTCATTTTCCCAGCCGACCAAGAAGGTTTTTCCTCCGCTTGCCTTTAAAAGCCTTTGTTGGCCGTCCTCAGTAGGGTTTGGTAAACATCTTTATGACCTTCTAGGTATGTGAGAGCATGTGCCACTCTCCTGAGCGCTAATTAGCTTGGCTACATCTGAGAGCACTCAGGAGCTACTGGCAGAACAGGAGACTTTCACAACGTCAAGGGCTCTTCTGGAAGTCCTTTTGGTCTCAATGTGGGCTCTGTCATGACCAAAATGGAGAATAATCCAATTATTTTTATTAAAAAGGATTCTTTTTCTCAACTAAAAGTATTCATGAGAGCAAATACTCAGCATATTGCACCTTAGTTGCCTAATTTAACCGTCATAAAAGAAAAACAATCCACAAATGTGCAACCTCGACAGGACGCCTATTGAAGTAGAGCATCGGAGCACAAATACAAAGCACTGAACGTTTTGTGCTTCCATTCATGACTCGGAAATGACAAACAATGAAGCAATTGCCAGGTCAATTCCCACACTCAGTCTGCAGTTGAACCCTCAGCCACTTGAGAAACTTCCATAGTGTGTTTCTAGCTGAGCATCAACAAGGGAAAAGACTTTGGCTGATCAAAGCACACTAAAGCTTCGTGTTGGAGCTTTGAAAGTGCAGCCAAAAGCTTCACTGTTTAACTTGTAAATTATTTGAAAAAGCTTGACAACATAATACACCTATTTACATTAAATGAAGGTACTTTAAAACATTTTGACAACCCTGGCCTTATTGTCTTAAGTTTGACCGACGTAGCTAAAGGTTAGCATAACATAGCGCTCACCACCATCACTGCAGAAGTTGTGTTCTTTATTTAAGCTGTCTACACTGCTTTACATTTTCTAAGACCGTTCAATTACACAAGCTTTACTTCTACAGCAAAACTGCAGCTGGCAGGAAAATGGTACATTCTGTAATAGACCACCCAATGAAACAGGTGGAGTGTGCGCCTATTTTATCCACCCACTAAAATACTGTTTACTACAGTTTTATGTTAACACATTGCCAGGTAGTATTTCTCTGATGGCTTTAACGACAATCATTTACAATGGATAATCAAAAACATGGCACATTTTGTCTTTAAAAAGCTGATTCTGATACATTTCAGAACAAATATATAAGAAATCCACTGTCTTATGGCAAAAATAAGTCAATGAATGGAGTAGTATTAGGAATTATTCTATACTGTGGGGTGAGGAGGAGGCCTCGTAATAATGTTTACCAAAACACAAGTAGAACAAATTAAAGTTGAATGCCGTTGGGTGGCTCAAATAAGGTTTATTGTTGTGTGTCTTCAAGGACAATTATCACTATATAACTTGTCAGGGACCATGAAAAGTGTTGGCTATTATGGGTTAGGGTTAATTTTGGTGAATAGCTGTTTGGTCCATTCAAATGTAATAAAATCCAAAGATAAGACAGAGAAAAGCTGAATATTCTCACATTGGAGAAAATGGCAGCAGATAAGCGATATGATGTACAGCTTCCAGAGTAGGGTTGTAAAAAAAGAGAAATAATAAAACTTAAAGAAAACACAACCGAAAAAAAGTAATTTTTTCCTATTGTTGTCATCATTTGCCAGACATTTTCTTTCAGTTCACCGAGCATGTCCGCCGACATGTCCTCACATCTTTGCTCCTCATGTCTGGCTTCACATTCAAAGGAAAATCAGTCAAGGACACCAAAATAATATAGGTATGTCCTTATTATAAAAGGCACATTGAGTAAATCCGATCCCTACATGCATGCCTGGTGTTCATTTAAACATATAAAATAACTCACTGGTGCATTGTGGGTAGTTATGGTATGCAGCGAAATTCTGCAGCAACATTTGAATTAACACCATAAAGCTGAGTTTTTTTATTCAGTTACAGATGGATCCCCACATGCACCACTGGTTTTCTATTTAGTCTTTTTGAAGCAAAATCAAGTCCCAAATGAAAACTGTGTGCAAGGCTGCAAGCGCTGAAGACCCCCTAATTTACCCCAGAGAGACCTTATGGCACTGATGGTTTTGAATTGAGTCCTGAAAATATTTCCTTTTTCTTCTTCTTCCCACCTCCCCCCCCTCCCTTCTTGTTGCTCCACAAGAGCTTAATCCTTCTAACCAGCACCATATGTCCGGGGAGGCTGCTGGAAAACTCTGGAATCTACTTTTGCCTTTTTTAACAATAGCATCTACATCAAGAGCTCCGTCAAGTGGGCGCTATAGCTCCTGAAGCACGGTAAAAGAAGCAGCAGTATGGACTCTTTGAATTGTGCAGATTCAAAAGTGCCAAACAAAGATCATGCTTTCAAACCGGAATCTAGTTGCCTTTGCACATCTAATACATATACATCTTCAAAGGTTAATCAGACGCTGTGGGCTGGTTTCTAGATCTGTTTTATGATCATTTACAGAAACTGTTCTCTCCAACCCATTATCATATCTTCTTTGTCCACCCTTCATCACGATGATGGAAAAAAGCTCTGAAACTCCTGTGTGTTTGAGCGGCCATGTCACAACACATCTTCTAACAACCTGTGGGACGTGCTCATCTCACGCTGCATTGGAGGGGGATTGATTACCCAATGATGGCATTATTCCTTATTTAAAGTACATTAGTGTCAAACTGTGAAATAGAATGCTTTACTTCAAGAATTACAGTGAGCAGCACTTACTTTTTTGTATTTTAAGCTTTGCACGAGGCTTCATTTTGAATGAGATTCAACATCCATCTTTTGGAGTCACACTCCAGCTGCTGTCATGAGCGCTTGTATAAGCACTGCAGACTTATGGGAGTGCACCTGGGACCACTGGGAAATGTATTGCAATGTCTACCACCGTGACACCATGCATTTCAAAACAAAACTGTGCTGCTTACACAGTGATGACGGATCATGGGTAACACGTATAATCAAAGCTTAAAAAACGTCAGCAGCGTAAGAGCAGAGTGTGTTAAGTGAGCTAAAAACAATTAGCATGTTCAGCTCTCACTTCTTCTGTAATTAATGCATCTCTCTCAGCACTTTCCATCCTTCATTTTTTTTGTAGATTTCTTTCCAAACCACTAACTTTAACTTTTTCCACTCCATGGAAAGGGTCAGAGATGGAGTCAGAGATGAAAGCGCTTGATAGCACCTCCTCCGTCAGCTCCACTAACTCTCCCCTGCACTCGTGAAAACTGACATCACCGAGTGTTTACACATGTCACGTTTTCCGTTCATTCTTTCTCTTGAATTGGGCCCGACCTATTGGATGTAGCTTTTATGAGCAAACGTTAATCAACTGCTTTCTTTGCTGAACACCACAAGTGGTATTTAGTTACTGTTAACTGGCACAGCTTGTCCCTACTGTATGACTTTGTGAAAGTAAACAAACATTGTTTAAAGTGTGTAAAATATTTCATTAATTTTTACGATTAAACACCCTATGAATATCTTCGAAATTAAATACCTAAGTGGCAGTGATTGCTTTGGTAAAACACAGGATAACACTTAATGAACTACAGTATGTTACCAACACCATTTAAATCAATGTTTTCTTTCTCACACATGTATGGTTAGCAAATTAGTTGTTGCCCATTTCTCAGTGGAACAAAGGCAGTCTAAAACATTCTCAAGTCTCTATGTAATAAATGAGGCTACCTCCAGCAGGCTGTTTGCTTAGTTTGGCACAATGACTTATAAGGTACTATGGCTATCAATTTTGAGTTTCATATTTCTATTTTGTGCCTCTATTCTAACATGATTATACGCCTTAATGTTTAAAAAGGTCTTTATTTTTCCTCCTCTATCTGAAACCAGAGCCCAGTCCGCTCTGATCGGTTAACCGCTTAGAGATGTCCCACCCCTTAGCCTATCACGTGCAATGTGTTGAAGCGCTAGCCAATAGAAGCACAAGTGTTACGTTGTTATGTCGCTATGTTACAGAAGTAATCAAAGGAGTCCAATGGGGGCATTTTGGGCAGGGGAGGAGTGTGTGGGAGAGAAACTCCTTCATGGTGAAACTTAGGGTTTTTAGCCTCTGCAGACCATTTACATGCACAAAAACCTATATAACATACAGGAAGGTAAAACCCCAAAAAGCACAATATTGGCTCTTTAAGATTATATATCATAATCGGGAAAAACAACAAAGAAAGACAAAGTTTGTACTTACGATAATTCCTATTTCTCCAGGCGTCCCTGGATCTCCCTGTAAATAAAAACAGCCAGTTAATGGAAGAGCAGACGGCCAAGTCTTCCTTAAAAAGTTGAGAACACGCATGGAGTTTTAAAATGATCGTAAACAGTATTCCGAGCATTTTGGTGAATTCATAAATGGTGTTTCAGTGTTTTAACAGCCGCTGTGGGGCCAGGCTGCAGAGCTCAGCGTGGTTCTGCTCTTATACCAGGTTGGCTGTGAGCCTTTCATCACGCTGCGGCACCTGTACGCTTCACTGTCTCTGAACAACCACCCTGAATTGAGTCTCTGCTTTCGCTTCAGGCCTGGCTGGATGTTCCTGCAGCTCTCGGGGTAGAAGAGGGACATATGCTGTGGCCATATTGCTATGCCAAACCCTTGAACATAACTCAATTTCTGCCTCTTTGTGACAGTAACAGGGTTATTCCTGCCACCCTCCCTATGTGGGATTATGAAGGAGAAATAAATCATGGGAGGAATAAAAGCAACCCAACATGAAAAGTTTACTTTCTTGGAAAAACACAACATCTATTGCAACTGGAAGACTGCAAACAATAATCATCAAAAAACAACAACTTGGAAAGCAGCAGATAAACAACACGTAATACTTTTGCACTCCCACACTGAAATGTGCCAAGACAATAAAGATCAGCTGGAGCCTCGGAAGGTTTTATGGCTGAACATAATTGACAGGCCTTCTCTGTTTATCCTTTCTCTCACAGGCAGAGTTCACACAAATTAATCTGATGCCAGTGACAAGCTTAAAGACATGGAAAATGTTACGATATAATGAAAAACAACCAAGAAAGCGTAAATCTATAGTGAGGCGTTCTCTTGGGAGCATGTTCATGTTCAGCTCAAGACATTAAGGCCATTTAGTGTAGTTTGTCTTGTCTTTGTTAGAAGACTTTTCACAGAGATAAACCCTCCCGGCACTGGGGCAGAGTCAAACTAAATATGACAGCATTAAGAACTAGTTTTTCTCTTTTCTGTTCAGTTTAACCTTCATCCTACTTGTGGTTCATTCCAATGTTTCATGACTTTGTCAATCAACTTGTTCCCAATGACATCGTTCTGTTTTTAATTTCACTGTGGCTTTTTAAAAATACCAATGTAACATTGGTGCAGTTATTTATATCAGTGAATTCAACGCCTTTTAGACTTATTAAGTGTCTGCGGGAAAGCCTGTTTCTTACAGTAGTTTATTCATTCGGTAGTTTTTGTATGTTAAATATGGAGCCTGTCCTCTTCCAGAAAACAACATAAAAGGTTGTTTGTTCAAGCAGCCTATTACGACCCATAGTCACGTTTTAAAGTTTTCGATCTCTGTCTGCCTTTTTTTCAATGGAAAATCTGAAATTGAAGGATAGTTTGGCCATTATAGTGCTTTTTTATTACATTTCTGGCAAGAGGTGTATATTTTATTTTCAGAATCTACATCTGTTGGATGTGTAGGATCTTTAGTTTGATAGATATTACGAAGATTATTTCAAGTCTGAGTATAAATAGAACTTTATTCTCCTTACTGCCGATTGATTTAGCGATATATGCAATACTCAACAAATAAAAAAACACCAGTTTGTCATTGTTAAAACCCTCTCGCAGGATTATCTCCGCAACGGAAGGAGTTTAAGTTTCAACTGCATCTTATAGCTCAGCGCAACATTTAAGTATGCCCTTTTGATACAGTAAGGACAATAATAACTGCAATAACTGTTGGCGGACGTGTTGTAAATATGCTGTTAGACGTCAGTTGAAAATGAATACTCACTGCTAGACCAGGTACACCTCTGGGTCCGTCTTTCCCCGTGTCCCCTGGAGGCCCCCTCGGCCCCGGAGGACCGGTGGCCCCGGAGGCCCCGGTGGTCCAGCTTGCCCCTGATCTCCCTGTGTGGCAAAGCACATTTAAAACATCAGAACTGTGTGATATTAATGAAGCCGCTGAGAGTGCAGCCTCTGCTGTTAAATGATGATGAAGAGAGAGTGGTGCAATTAACTTGTGGGTGGCTATGGGCTGCCTCCATTCATTACATGGAGGACATTTAGCTAAAACTAGCAGGCAAGATGGAGATGAAATGTATCGGATTTATAGCTGAAACAGTAATCCCCTAAAAAGCATGCATTTCAAAATGGACTTAATGAGTTTAATAGGGGCTGTGCATAAGACAACAAATAAGTCAGATTCGTAGAGCAATAATACAAACACACAGAGAATGTGTGGTCCATTTTTATACTGGATTATAAGAAACTCTAAGAAAATATTGAGCAATCTAACTTACAGGGAGTGTGTTTTAAGTAGAGCCAGGGCAGTAATTCATGCAACATTAATACTCCCTTATTTCTAGAAAGAAAATGTCCATATTTCCCTTTAACAATAACAGAAGGAGTCTCAGAGTGGAGTTATGACGGGTCCGTCTGAAAGGTTTGCATGCAAACTGCAGGACGCCCAGAGAGAAGTGATTATCGGTGAGACCTGGTACGACAGAGAGCAGAGTGAGGACACAGCCACTACCTTAATGAGACGCCGCTTTATGAGCTGCTGGTCAGCGGAAAGAAAGCCATGATTGATCTTAGGGAAGACCATCTGAGCAGGTGTGTGAGGTCAAGAGGTCGAAGGTCAGAGGTGAGAGAAGGTTGAAGGAGGATGAGGTCCCAGAAGAAGAAGGCGGAGGAGGAAGGCAAATGCAAAAAGAAACAGATTTGTTAGAAAGGCCAGTGTTCGTGAACCCTGGTCCAGCGCACTTCACAGACTGGGGAGAAATCCACAATTTCCAGCACAGAAGTGGTTTGCTAAGGAAGTGTGTTTTTTTTTTTTACCCATCTCAGGGGTAAAAAATGGGAATTTCTCCTCCTCTGTGAAAGCGCTGTCATCATCTTCATTGCGCCTGATGCTCAGTCAGACCCTTCAGCTTCACACACTGAAACCAGTTGAGGTTCATTTCTAACCTTGTTCCTTTCAATGCTTGCATTATTCTGCTCGTGTCCATTGGTATTAAGTGGCTTCATCCAGTGCTGAAAGAAACCCCCGAATCCTGAAGGGCACATTGGTTGGGTTGGGAGGATTTGTGGTGAACCATGGGCATGAGCTTTAGAAAAACATTTGCCACTTTGGTTCATTATCGAGTATTCCTCTTGGAGTTCTTTCCACTTATTTTAGCATCAATGGACACGAGCCAGACCATGTCTTCTTGTTCCAGTCAGTATTACTGGGTTGTTAAAGGCCACCTTTGCTTTCAACGGGGAACCTGGCATGTAGCGTGGAACCGAGTTGAAAACTGGTAACGGCAGTGGGGGGGGAAGAAGCTAACGATTGATTGGCTGTGATTAATTAGATGGTTTTTTTCTGTCCATCATCGGGGCTTAGGGGAAAAAGCAGCTGACAGTGATTCATTTACTCCCAGTGTGTGCTGCCGAGGGGTCGGACTGAGCAGCTGGGCGGCACCAACACCGACAAACCTTGACAGTCAGGATCTGATTGCTGTGCAAAGCAGCCAGCGAGGGGAGACCAGGCAACCCCTACAGGGACAAACAGCACAACAGGGCACAACACACGACATCAAACACAACAACAAACAAAGGAGGGAAAAAAACAAGCATCATATTTAAATATTCTTACAAACAGCTGTTTGAATACTGTAACATGTAAGGGTTTTTCTTGAAACTAGTTCAAATGTAACTGTTTATTACATTTGAGAACATTTTTATTTTAAGCATTCCTTATTTCAACTTCACTCTCCACAACGACAAAGCATGCACAATGGCACTGGGGTCTTCATAGAACATGCCACAATGTCATCGTTAAATGACCACTTCCTGTTGTTTTCTATCAAAAATACAGACAGAACATTTGTAAAGATGATTATCATCTAGAGTTTGAGCATGCTGGTAAATTAAGGCGCTCTATTGTTCGTAGAGTTTTCGAGGAACATCAAGGGTTTGGGATGTTCACTGGAAATTCAATCAAATGGTTTCCAATTTCCTCTTCAACATGACATATGTGATCCACTCGTGAAAACTGAATAAAAAGAAGAAAAGCATCGGGACCCCTCCTCGTTAAGAGGGGTTTATAGCTGGATTTGAACTTAATCTGAATCCAGAAACATTGACATACAGTCAGATAAACATGCTTGAGGATGTTTCATTGTCATTTTCCAATGTTTTTGCCTATAAAGATTTTTATTTCGTTGCAGTTTATTGCATGCCGGTCAAAGGCGGCCTTTGATAGTGACAAGTCCTTGACAGACATTTCCAGTAAAATGTCCTCTGAACCATGAATTGAACATTTGCAAAATCCCCCCCGAAGAATGCTTGTCCAGTCGTAGCTTAGCGAAAATGATTTAGCAGGGCAGGGCCAGTTTTAGTTTTCTCAAAAAGCCAAGATCCTGTGTGGCTGTATTAAGAGTGATTTTAAGAGATCGAAGGGTGTGGTTTTCGTTCTTTGTATCCGTTTTAAAACTTTAAAAGTACTTAAAATGTCAAGCAGTAAATGTGTATCTACAAAAAGCAAGACAAGTGTAGCAACTTAGCAAACGATTAAAATGTAGCGGTTTTGAGCCTTAATGCTAAGTATAAATAAGAACATGTGAAGATTGCAGCACATTGGTTGTACACTGATTGCATTTTCTCTTGTTTATCTTCACGCTGCAGGTTTAGCTTCACAGCAATACCCAACCTGAGTGAAAGTATTTCTTAAAGGCTGGCACTCTAGCTTAAACATGCCCTGTAAGAGATCAATCTGCCTCCGCCTTCGAGCTTAAGATAAAAATCTGGTCTATCCAAACATGGCTTAGGTGCCATCCCTCTGGTTTTCCAAAGATAATTCAAAAAGCATGGCTCATTAAGAATATGGCTTTTAAGACAGGCTGATTTAATTCAGCAGAACAGAGCCATACTCTGACTTATACTGCAGACAATAGCCATGCTGTGTGCAAAACGGGATTGAAGCGCACATATTTCTCAAGTTATTTACAACCTCAAACATCTTGAGGACAAAGAAGGAAAACAACAACTGGATTATGGTCAGAGACTATAGAAAAAGTCCAGGCATGATAATGTAGTGTGGCGCATGCAGGCTGGCACTTGTGACAGTTTTCTGGGTTTTGTCCTTTTCTAATTATGCTTTGAAAGACTCTGGAGAGACGTCGACAGCATGTTGACGAACTCACTCACCAATGTGTGTTTGAAATCATTATCTGACCTAAATAGTTTGACCTTTCTCTAAAGAGAGAATGGGGAAAAGCTTACCTATGGGTCAGTTCTCACCCTGCGTTGCCACTGCATTGACGTCCATGTGTGAGTATGATAATGACATGGCGGTTGACAGAGAATCCTAACCATTCACAGATCGCTTTGTTTTGCTTTTCTCCTCCAGAACGGATGCTGGTTATTTGGGAAACTTCTACATATTAGCCTGCAGCGATAGGACTGCAATTGTAGTAAACAAAAATCCGTATATGAAGACAATCAGCAACAGCCGTCAAAGGACACTGGCCAGAACCAGCATCTCCGCGACCACACCAAACACACAAAACATCCCGAGCAATTTCAGGCTGAGGCATTCTCTGAATATCTATATGTGGAGTGGATTACCAGTCCTGTGCACAGATGGCTTTAATACGTTTAAGAAGGAATAATGCATTGATCTGAAGCCTCCGATTTGGCATCAATGTGATACATTGAATTTGGTGAAGTGAAATTAATTTGAAGGCTTCTTATTTCAAGTGCAAACAGTCTACTGCATAACACTTCTGATTCACGACTGGAGGGTAACATCCTGGAAATTACATAATCACAGTCTTTACTTTTAAATTTAACCAATTTGCACTGTTCTTCCAATGTGAGAAGTAAAGTCCTGGACAAACTAGGGAAGATTTCTATTTAAATCTCAGGAATGTTTCCTCTAGCTGACCCAGGAACCTCTGTGTGATATATTCAAGTGGTTTCCTTTGCACGGCACCTGGATACACCTGATATCATGAAATAAACTAAATAAATCTCCTCAGGCCTCAAGCCCATTGACTCATCTTAGGCTCCAAAAAAGAGCAAAGAATGGCACTTTTTCAATGGAAAAGCCATCTTTGCTCTACCATGAGATCGACATATGATTAATCCAATTATCTTCCAACAGATCCTGCCCTTTCCTCAACAGCTTCTGTGTAAAACACCATCTGGCCCGTCAGGTTATGTAGCTTGTGCCATCCCTCAAAAAGACCACACACACCTCTCATGGTGACACACCGAGGCAGTAACTCCTGTTAATTATACCCCAGCAGTGGAGCTCTAATGGTGGCCACACATTTGTTGGTCAAAACTGGTCAATTTGTTATTTGTTGTTTGGGTAAACCTTGTCGTTTGGACGTGGCCTTTGACCTCCAGAGTCGACAAATGGGTGACCCTGACATGTGGGGAACAGGCAGAGGAAGTGTGTGGCCATGTGGAAACTCTCAAACTGTTTTGAGTAGACCCTAGAGACAATTAACATATTGTATGCAAATAGTCCAAGCTTTAAATGACTCTAAATCTAAGTCTGATTAGATTTGATGATCTTTTCTTATAAAAGACCCGTAGTATTTTGGATCCTGTAGTATTTTTGACTTTTTATTTGAAATATCCAGAATATTTGATATTGTTTTGTTTATATTGATATAATATTTTGCATTTGACTTTTAATTGTAAATTATATTTTCCACTTTCTTAAGTATTTTAAGTATTGTATTTGAATGTCTGAACACACTTCTGCTTCTGTGACGTAAAATAATTTCCCAAATTGGGATCAATAAAGTATCTATCTATCTATCTATCTATCTATGACTTTGGTGTGTTACATATTCCTAACATGCTCTGTTGTTTACATAAACCTCCATATGGCTTCCATATCATCTCATTTCCAGACTGAAAGAGCTAAGGTCAGACAGTCCTGGTATTCCACTTATTTATGAATGAAATCTTTCTAATACTGTTCCACTACATTTACCTGCTAATCTAATGGGCAAAGTCAATATGCTATTCTGGGGAGGTAATATCATTTGCCAGTGACCTAGACTGCTTTCATGCCCCTGTAGTCCTTCAAATGTGACGCTGCGTTAATTTGTACCTGTTACGGGACAATTTTGCTGTAATTGGAAGTTAATGAAATGATTTCTCGAAGTGGACAGTTTATTTATCTACTCTACAAAACAAATACCGGCTTGCTGGTGCCTGTTCCAATCCTGTCAGCCACAGTGCTGTTTCTAAATCGTAAATCATTTCACTGATAGAGACAGATGACTCCATTTCCCAGGTTAAAAGGGTACAAATTACGAGCAAAACCCCAAAATTCTATCCAACCAGAAATAGTTTACTGTGGTCAATCCAACCAGAGAGCAAAGATATTTCCTCTCTGCCTGTTTGCAGTGGATCCACATTTACTACTATCCCACTTTTTATAATATTATTACTAAAGGATATCACAGTGCTGGAAATGTATTTGTAGATTCTAAAAGTGTGAAACCACTCAGAGATCCACAAACTCTGTGAACTTGGCTGTCATTTGAGGAGGATGTGTAACATAAGATGTTTCATTTTGAGACCACTAATCACATTTTTGGGAAGGTCGTTTGTATTGACTTCCAAATCATAAGAAATGCAAGCAGCACTGGCCTGGAGGAGAACTGACAAAGTTAATTGGCAAACTACTAACGTCTGGTTGGGCGCCAATACAGAATTGGGATCAGATCCGCCTGGGAGATGGCTGGTATTCTGGTGACAAACCTCTGTGTTGTTGAGTTCCCTGTCCTTGCGCTGCAAACTCTACATGCTCTCTGCCCTCATGGAAATCAATTATGGCTTTAAAGTGATTTTGACTGCATATGATCTCCTCCTTATGGCGGCAGATATAGGGGGAAGTGAAAAGTGTGTATATGCATGCGCACATGTGACCCCACTTAATGCAATCTACTTTAAACAAACCTGTGCAGTCATAGTATACTTTTCTGAGGGCTCATTTTTTTTAACCGTTATTCGAGAAGAAATTAGGGCTCGCTTGCTGCTAGTTGGAGATAGAGCAATTCATTTCAGAGTCTGTCAAGCACGGAAAGGCACTCACATTATCATCATTTAGATGCTGCACTTTCATAGAAATGTCAAACTACAGAGCTGGAAATGATTAAAGGTCTGAATACGCCATGTCACGTCGGGGATTGAAGTGAATCACCAGTAATTATAGAGACAGAGCTAGTTTGGCTTTTGATTATAGCTGAGATTGAGCAGATATCTTCTGCTGATGGGCAAACGCTCGTGCTCTTGTTCATTTTGAAGAGGTAAAGAAAAGGTCTCAAGAAGCATATCACCCCCTCGCACGTTTGCCTGCCTATTCTTGATGTGGAAATAAGCAGTGCTGAAATGCTTGTTGTCTTTGGCCAGATGGGAAGAACACTATCCCAGGAATGTCATGCATCTCAAACCTTTTTGCCCACAATACTGCCGGGGGGAGACACACACATGCAGTCACATCAGCTAATTACAAGAAGTCAGAGTAAACCACATACCCGTGGTCCCTGGTCGCCTTGATCCCCCTGCAGAAGGCAACAAAAAGAATACATCTTTAAATGAGGACACACACTCAACAGACACAAGCACAACGCAAGTCATAAGCGGAGACTCGCACCGAACTCACGGAGGCGTTATTCAGAACACATTGATAAAGAAAAATAATACAGGAACCCTCAACTATTCATTGTGGTTGAGAGTAAAATCACTTATGATAACATGGACTGACATGAATTGGGTATGAGGGAGAGAGAAAGAAAGACGGCAGCGGTGTGAGGTTTGGTGGGTTTGAGGTGGGTGGGGGGGGGGGGGTTACGGGGGCTGAGTGTGGGCGAGCTGCATTGCCAGGCCAGATTTTATGCCCCAGAGATTGTTGGCTTTCTGCCGTCTTTGGGGGGGGGGGGATCTCTGTGGACGGAGCACATTTCTAAAAAGGAGAAAAAACGCTCGGTTTCGTTTCAACCTGCATGGTGCGCACTGTGGCTTCATCACATTAAAGTTAAACCGAACCAAGAGTACACTTTTGTTTGAAACAACTGAAGGAAGACCAAATGTTGGACACTGAATTATAACCGCAATCTGTCAAGAATCGGATATCTGAACACCCTTAAGTCATCTCATCAGATGCACTTCACTCTCCTGTTGGCCACAGCAGTAAAACGAGCTGCGCGACTTATCACACCTGGGAATTTTGTCAAACAAACTTCAAATGGAAAGCTTGAGTAATTTCAAATAAAAAAAAAAACAGCTCTAATTTTTTGTTGGGCAGTCGTTCCAAAAGCAGATTTAACGGGGAAACAGTTGTGAATGGCCACACTGATGCACGCTGTATTCGTGTTGGGTGGGAGGAACCCACACAGTTGTTTTTCATTTCATTAAAACTGCAGATGAATTGGTTCACATGAGACACATGAACATGCATCAGCAACACTGGGGTGTTCACATGTCATAACGATTCTCAACGATTATCTAAATATGGCTTCTATTTTATGCTTTGAGGGGCACCAAATAAAAGATTACACTGTTGATGAATTACTTTGGTCAGTGACAGCAACCAACGTCATTCCACACCCCGCGTAACCAGAACATGTGTTACCAAAGAGTGTGATGCAGATGACAAGTGTTTCTCTGTGTTCAACTTTAGCTCTGGTTAGCACTCTCACGCTATTTCATTTTATGTTTTGCATTTTATGGCACAATAATCCTTTAAGTATAGTGGGTTGCTGTCCAAGTTGATGCTCACTTCATCCAAAATCTGAATAAATATTTAATGTTTGGCCTGTAAAACAGAACAGATTTTCCCCTGTAGCATTTTAAACTGTAAGTGTGCAGCTTCAAGCCACTTCCAGAACGAGTGAATAGAGGGGCTTTGGTTTGAATCAAGGGATGTCGTTATGTTAGTGTTTCAAAGCAAAGCCACGTGCACGCATTTGTCTCAAAGTCCTGCAGACTCATAAAGAGATAGTGTGGAGATTCTTCGCTGCTGTTTTATGGAGGGATGCTCAGCGAGGCATTTAAGGGCTCCAGCTTGAGATCATGGCTTTCAGTTTCAGTGTTGTAGATGTGTGAAGGACCGGAGAATTGAAATATTCAGGATGGCTTTAATGTGGGAATTGTTGCAGCAAATGCAAAAGGGTACTAATGAACACATTAACAGTGAAAATGCGCAAACATCAAGCTTCATATTTCTTAATGAGATAGTTTGAAACATTCTGACATGTTCAATTTCTTGCTGATACGTATACAGTAGGGGAACATTGATGTTTGTAGAACTAAACAGTGGCTAGTGAGATTTTGTTACATTTGGACACACCAACGCTAGCTGTTCCCCTCTGCTTCCGGTCTTTGTGCTAAGCTAAGCTAATTAGCTATTGTCTCTAGCTTATACACATGGACATGAACTTTCAGCAAGAAAGCAAATACTACTTCCCAAAATGTCCAACAATTGCTTTTAGCAGTGGAATAAAATATCTGATTGTATCAACATTTACACAATTGAAAAATACAACTAAATATAAAATGACTCACCTTTTCACCCTTGGGACCTAGAGTGCCCTATAAAGAGAAAATAAAGAATTGTTTAAACACATGGAAATTACACACTATGGTCCACGTTAGTCATTTGTAATCATTCAGAAGTATAATACAATACAACTGTAAAACCAGGGTGACCAATCATGTTAGCCGATAAACAAACAGAGCTGCTCAACAAAGCTTGAACATCATGAACTTAGAGGGAAAGGTGAAATCAAAAGATTAACAAATGCAATTTTTGATTAAACTAACATTGTGCACTTTTTGACATCAGTTTCAGAATTTGATTTGAAGGCCCTGTCACAGTTTGGGAACCGGTACCTTATATAGTCGGCAGGGGTTATACAAACATACAATTAAAACCAAAAACAGGCCCAAATCAAGTCCATGTTTACTCAGAAGATCAAATCAAGCAACTCCAACCAAGTGTTGGCAAGCATATTGTAAAAATGTGCCCTGAACAAGAGGAACACTTCTTTGTTTTTTCTTTTAAAACAGCAGTTTTTGTAAGGCAGTTTCTGCATCCAACTTCTGTCAGTCAGCAAGCAGGGGATACTGGGTGGGCTCCGTGAAAGAGTGGAGTAGAGGATTCGACAATGAGGTGTGCATCCTACTGAGCTTGTGCTAAAAAATACTTTTTTTAACATGGATGAAGCCCAGTATGCTGGACTCCTTTCTTCCTCTGGGGTCACACTTTTTGAAAAGCTGGCTCTGGAAATCAGTATTAGATCAGAGTGACCAGCCACTTGGCAACAAACTGAAAGACTGCTGTGCCATGTATGCTGATGTTCATTTTCACATGAGAAGCTTTCTGTCAAATATATTTAGTAAGATCAAAATTCGAGGAAAGATCTGAATCGTCTGCAATCACATCCAAAGCCTGGGGAAGTGTGCATTTCTTTATTTGACACTCCCAGATAATGCCAGGTACTATTTGTCCTCGGGTAAAAATAACAAGTTGTCCATCCGTCACTGTGGTGAATGATCTGCAGTGGTAACTTCTCCAGACTGAAACTGCCCAAACTTTATTTTTTCCAAAAACATCAGACATGCAAAAAAGCGTGCTGACACAAAGTCATGGTGTGAACCAATTTCTACCATAGTGCTCCAGTTAGAAGAGTAATAAGCTGCACAGTGCATTTGGACCTTATTCTTAATGTTATTTTGTTTATGTCTAGTGGTGCATGTATTACCAAATGGATCTGCACTAGGCACATTCTGCCTTAATACTGAGGTTATGAACCTGTACAGCAAGCTTGTGCAATGCAACTGTGTTCACATCAACAATAGGCTGATCACACACACACACACACACACACACACACACACACACACACACACACACACACACACACACACACACACACACACACACACACACACACACACACACACACACACACACACACACACACACACACACACACACACACACACACACACACACACACCACACACACACCACACACACACACACACACACACACACACACACACACACACACACACACACACACACACACACACACACACACACACACACACACACACACACACACACACACACACACACACACACAGAGGAGGTGGTCTTGCTGCTTACTGGTCTGCCCATACAAAGAGCCACAACACACTTGTAAACATAAAATGCACCATTATGAAAACAATGTTTCCGATTGCGGTTCCCTGGGGGGGGATAATAGAGGCAGCATATTGGAATAAAAAGCCACTTTTACTTTTACAATGTTGTAGATGTATTCCAGAGAGGCTTAATAAGTTTCCAGCATTTTCCTGAAAATGGAAAGGCAGCAAAACAAAATCAGTGCCTGCTTTTTGTTGTGTAGGAAAATTGCCTGTGGACAATAGAAGGCTATTGACAAGCTGTTACTGCAAACATATGAATGGCTGCAACAAAGAAATGCATAAATAAACCCACTGCAGCGTTGTGCACAAGCCAGCTTAACACATTTGATCTGGCATGGAGGAATACAAATAGCTGGCACACCAAATGACTGAGCCAAATGACTGGGCACCAGAAGTTTGTGGAAAAAATTAAAACTCTGCTTGACATGATTGAGCATTTAAATAAATCCAGATTGTTAGACGATTAGTAAAGCCACAGTTAAACTTGATACAATCCATGTGCAAATAAAGCATGTCTATTTTTGTAATGAGGATGTAAATGTATTCAAGGTGGTCACAGATCAAAAGAGCCTTTTTTTGATCTGGGATATCTGTATTTATCACTTTTTGATGGACCCCATCATTTCAGATAAAGTTGTATTTTCAACCCTAACCCTACTTATAAATAAAAAGGCCAAATGTAAATGTATTAATATTAGCTGACTACAAATATTTATTTTTCAGGGTTAGGCCTCCCCAGTTTGGAGGGGGGGGGGGGCACATACAGAAAAGGGCAGTGGGTCAAATTTGAGGACTCCATTCAGACATGTAAGTTTCATTAAACTAGTGATATGCGTTATAAATAGTTTCTTTAACAGAAGATTTTGATAATCATGTGAATAAATGAGGGATTTGAATACAAAGGCTACAATCAGAAGTGTTTGTCTATGTATACTACAGGGAAGGAGTAGTGCTTTTAACACAACTAACTATGTCTTGCAAAAAAAAACGTAATTTATCTGTTCCATCTGCTCGTAAAACATGTGGAAGTGATTTGGCAACACAGTCTGCACCTGCTCATTATACGGCCCATCATTTGCACATCACTTGGACGGACAGCACCCACCGGAGCCTTTCCAAAAGCTTTAAGCGAGTACAGTGAGTGTCTTTTATGGAGACTATTAAACAGCTCTCTTGCAAAGACTATTTAAAAAGCAGCACACTGTGCTACAGTAAAACTGCAGCGGGTGTCTTTTTGTTGAGCATTCTGTGCAGTTTGCGTGGTTTGCGGCTGCCTTAAGGAAGGTTTCTCATCAGCACCTTTTTCCTGCTTCTGCTCTGGCTCTTTTTCAAAAGCAGCCCTCCAGCAGCAGGTGCTTCTGTTTGATCAAACCTGCTCACTGTGCATTACTTTGTTGAACATCTATCGTACCTGCAACACGTTTACAATTAGATTACTCTGGATTCTTGAAAGGCCATTTTCATATCTCAAAACTAACTACCCTTACCAATATGGTTCGATAAGTTAGGTTTCCTGGTATGTTTTTCTGCACGATTTACGAACAACTAGTAGCTTGAATGACATGTAAATTGGTGGAAGGATGTATCGTGGGCCAAGGAAGATACCTAATCTTAATTAAAGTGGCCGTTTTTCCAATTACATCGTTCTTTAGGCCACTTGCAACGCAAATTTGAGTTCTGACTCACGTTCCAAAGCATTCAATTACCTTTAATTAAGACCCAATTCAATCAAAGCAGGTAAGTCTTGAGGGTTTATTCAAAGAAATCACAGCTTCCTGTCTCCCTCTTGGCGGTCCACTACCGACCCAAAGACACTATAAAACTGGAAGTACTATTACGCTATTATGCGGTCAAAAACGCCCATTGTCTATCAAGGGAATAAATTACCCTACTGCGTATAAAATTATTGATTGGTTGGCTTTAGAGCACCTTTACCCTGATTCCACTCATCATGCTGCTAGTTAACTGGCAGCTCCCTGTAGCGTCACATTCACAGAGAGTGGTATTGACCTTTTCGTGTTATGCTCAGCAAACAAGCCAATATTTTAGTCTTTCAACAAGGAGCCAAGATCTGTGCTCTAAACATGTGTGCATTTTGGATTTGATTACACATTTACTGTAAGGGTGGGAAGAATTATTTCTCAGAAAACCTCTTTAATTTAATTTTAAGTGCCCGTAATTGACTCGAAAAAGACCAAATGCGTCTGTCAAAAGAGTTATGATGAACAGAATGCAGTTGCCCCAAAGCAAAAGCCCTGTATCCACTTATTGAAAATGACACATATCGCATTGATGGTAAGCCTCACATCTTCTGCTGCTTAACGCTGGGCAAACTCATGTCAAACTCCATGAGAAGATTTGTACCAGAACATCCTGCGTGCATGATATTGTCGAATTTATGGTGGACCACTGGATCAGGATTAAGCTTTTTTTCTATCCTGATACATGACTAGCTTCTCGTTCTCAGCCAAACCATGACCGCTATCTCCTGCAATGGCCTGACTGAGCTGTTGGTATGAGAACAAAAAGGAGGAACCCCCCCCTGCCACCTTTAAAACAGAAGGGGGGAGAAATATGGAAAAGACTACAGGGAAATATAAAAAGGAAAACGGAATTGGCGCCAAACCCGCAAGCAGCATGGACATTCAGATCTGACAATGTCAGTTACTTCACTTCATATTAGACGAAGTGAATGATGCTCAATAAAATGATCCTGGCACATTTCACATGTGGCCGATTATCAAGATGTGAAAATATTGCACATTTATATTTTCCTATCCTTTGTTAGCTAGTCTTTCATTATGAATTGAGAACAAGATGTATCTTTATGTTACCGTCATTTAACCTGTGCAAAACAAATATTTACGGAAGATGACTGCTGCTGCTTTTCATAAGACCAATAATGGAAAACAGATTTAAGTATTGTAAGGCAAAGATTTATGTAAATAAATATCTATTTTGACCATTCTTTGAGATCCTTGAGAATCTCGTAAAAGCTATAGATGACCCTGAACGTTTTTGATCAGTAACTCCACAGAGCATATCTTTAAATTCTGTTTGCTTGCCATCGAAACTCAGCAGTGTCAAACTACTATTTTCAAGGTCAGGAATACACTTTATTATAGTTATAATTTCCCTTTGCAGTGCTGGTGAAACCATCTTTGACATCAGATGTAATGATGTTATTGAAAAATTGAATCGAAGTACAAAACTATTGCCATTGTTATTCCAAAAGATCCTGTTATTTACGTAAGCAATAACCAGGCGGAGTTCAAAAGGTAACACATTGGTCAGCCTAAATATACATTGTCTTACATAGAAGACACTGAATATCCATTTTCACATCCCTGCTCTTTTATAATTGAATAAAACATGATGGATGAGAGCTTGACAGAGCTCGCCTGACGAGGAGCTGGCCGCCGTCCGAAGGTTTAGCCGCTGTTGACATGAGCGAAGAAATTCTGGTGGGTTTGGCTGCGGGCTGCTGCTACAATGAAGCAATCTGCTTAATCCAACTAGAAGCAAAAAGTCAGGAACAGAGGATCTGCATGTAACCTCTGTCTGGGCTTCGCTGTATTATGTTTCAGCACAGTGACCTGGTTTATGAATCTAAGGTCCAGAAAATCATCCATCAAACGGAGCTCATATCCTCGCTGTAGAACCGGGGCCAACGGTTCTGGCAGCAACCGGGTTTCGTACCACATGGATCCAATCATCTCACCCCGGAGCACTGGCATCTCAGAGAGCGGGACCAACAACTACCGCTTTTACAACCTCTTCTTTACGGGGCTCACGGTTTTCTCACACAGCCTCACAATATTAATAAACATGTGTGTACACAGGAAGTTAACCAAAGCAATCCTTCAGGCACCGAGTGTTGACAGGGAAGGAGTAAGTTAAGAGGGGGGGGCAGGTGAGGAGTGCTGCTCACCACAAGAGTGGGAGGAGGGCCAGAATAAAGGGTATAACGGACTAAACCCTTATAACTACACACTCCACACTGTTGAGTGATGCTTCATATTGAAACGAAGGCCTCGTCAACAAGTACAGGTGTTTACTCTCTCAAGATCCCACAAATCAAGCACAAAATATCCATACACATAAAAAACAATCCAGCATTCATTCCCTGTAAACATTTCTGCTAACCTCTCTCCCAAAAGTTTTAAAGCCCTATCTAGATACACAAATATAATCAATCTAGCCAAGAGTGGAAAAGGTGTTTTGACAACTGCAAAATACACATTTAGCAATGTGAGCCTGCTGTGGGTTTCATTGGAAGTTAAATCTACTCTCAAACATCCCCAGACCTTAGAGAGAGTAAAACACATCCAGTAAAAACACATATCTATACGCACACCTCCATATGTTAGTTCTGCATGGGAACCCTCAATCATACTACACTGGGCCTCGGGGGAATTCTTTTTTTTTTTGAGGCGGGAAACTAATGGGGGACAGGGATGTGAGTAATCAGAGCGGAGTGGGCAGGAGCGGACGACCACAAGTGGCTGGTGCACGTCGGGGGAATCTAGACGCAGAGGTTAGGCAGGGATAGAAAACCACACTGGAAAACTGACTTGGGAATGGCATCTGGTTCCCATATCCACAGTGTATGACAATTAGCCGGCATAAAATGACTTTAATGTGTGTGAATGTGTTTGTGAGAGTGTGTGTGTGCTCGCTATGTGTTGGATAATCTTGTGGGAAGAGGGGACGCTGTGGGAAGAGGGGACGCTGAGGAAAGTGTGACTGGTTAAAGGTGGATGATAATGTAACATGTAGGAGATATTCGTTCACATTCTCAGTCGGGAAAGGCTCTCTTCATTCCTGAGGAGGGGAAATATTTAAATGGCTTTAACCAAGTGGTATGCATAAAAAGCCAAAAATCGAGTCCAATTTCTTTTCTGCACAATCCATAACCAAATTTCTGACCCACACATTTTTTTGTCCTTGAAAATGAAAAGTTGAAAAAGTTGGTAACGGATTTCTTTCACTTCTTCTGTTGATTCGATTAGAACCGCACAGTGGCAGCTCGACATTTCTCATTTGATGTTCTGAGTTGCAGGAAAATTCCTCTCAATTGAAAAGCTGTCGTGCTTTTTTTCCTCCACTGCGAGCATCACGTTCATATTGTGCTAATTCTCCTTCCACAGTTCCCTGTGTGCTTTATTGACTGCTTCACATCAGTGTGAGTAAAGCTCCCTCGGCCTGAGCGCTGCCTCTCGTCATCCGCTGACAGAGAAGTGCCGCTGATGGGCACAGCGTGAGCAGAGGACTGACCTCTGGAAAGGTCAAACTCTTAAATGTCGTCAATATTAGAGCCAGTAGGCTTTGCTTCGTGCACCACTGCCCTTTTGAGCTTAAAAAAAAAACCCTGTCACGTCAGATAGATCCACTCGCAGCTCACGGTGATCCTCTGCTCTCATGTGAACCCGTTAAGAACTATTACCAATTTCAAATCCACAACATTGCAATATCTTTAAATGCAAAGGTCACCGGGGCCTTCTTCAGGAGTCTCACTTTAGATAAACTGGCGTCTTCTCCACTTCCGTAGGGCAGAAGTGATCAAAGTCCAGCTGGAATATATGTTTTATTAACAGGTGTGGCGCTGCGGTGCATACCAGATGAAGGATGAAGGGGTTGAGGGAGTCTGAGCTCCTCTGCTTCACCCCCACATTGCCTCTAATCCCTGCTACACAGCTGCATAATTCATACGTTGTGACAGATCATCCTCAACCTGCGTCTCTGGAGCCTCAGCCTGTGAAGCAGGGAGGAGGAAACTACTTGTCAAATAGAGATACGGTCGCAACAACCTTCCCTAAGCTCATTGCTAACATGAGTGAACTCTTAGCGCTTATGTGCCGCACTGTAACCACCCTGGTTTGTGTGGTACGCTGAAGTGGGTTTGATATTTACAGTACAGCATTGTACCAAATAATTCCACTTCCTTTCAACCAGATTTCAAAGCATAATAGTTTCTTTCTCTGTCTGTATAATTCTAATTTAGTACGGCATACAGTCGGCGGGTGGTGTTAGTACTGCAGTGCAGCCTCAGGGATGGTGTTTTATGCTTGATTGGTGCTAAATGGTGTTCGCACACAGTGGTGGGTGCTTGGGGTTGATGTTTTGACACTGGTCTCCCTTAAAAGAGCAGAAGATGTTTGCCTCAGCTGTTATTTCACAGACTTTACTAACTTTCTCTACAGCAACTCAACATGTATCCTGTTTTATTGACAAGAAAAGGCAAAAACCTCTTCTTGTAAAGGATGACAAAGTAAAAAGATCACCTGTTTTCCAATATAAATGGATGTCTAAATATCTAACTAAACATCATTTGGCCATTCACCGCATGATCCAATACAAACAAGCCTAAAAAAACAATGAAAATCACTTTTCCCTGACTCATTACGGATCACAAACTTGAGTATTTCCCGATGAGTTTTGATTGAGCAGATCTTTTTTTCTTTCTTTTGGTTTCTTCCTCTCCCTGTCCATTAATCGGCCTCTGAGGAATGATTAAGTCACAAAGTTTCGTAATAGCTTCAGCAGTGGTCGGTTTGTTTGGTGCAGACGGCTGTCTACCATTTACGCAGTGTTCCCAGAGTTACAGAGGGAACTGTTGAATATTCATAGCGGCGTGTCCCCTGCCATCCCCCGGGTGGGCATACCTAATGAAAAACCACATGAGATCACTTTTAACTGTCTTTTTTAAGAATCTGGCACAGGATGTTTTATTTCGCAAATCGATTTGGTGACCATCGTGTGAGTCATTGTCAGATCGTCGACTGTTTTTAGAAATGTAGTCAGTTCTTATGGCCTGTACTGTAAATTATAGCCTTTTTTTTTGTGTTGCTTAAACCTGGTTGCTTTTCCAACGGTAAAACCAGGACCTGGAGCAAACATTTACAGCACCCTCTGCTTCCTATAATGACTTCATCATAGAGTGATTTGCTGGCCACAACTGGAACATTGTCAGGTTCTTGCTGTTTGTGCACAGATTTACTACGTCTCACCCAAAGGATCAATCCCAAAAGCACCAAAAGAAATATTTTTATATTATTTTATATTTACTGGTAAGTCCAACATTTCAGAGACAGCATTCCTCGGCTTCGGTCGGCTCTTGAGACATCTCGCAGAATGATTTTATTTGTCAGATGTACGGCCTGAGAAGTGAGACCACCTGCACTTACTTACGTCCCAGAACTGCAGGAGCGAGTGTCTGAAGGGGGGCTCCGAGGATTAACTTACAACTTTACGGCTCAGTCGGCACACGCTATTATACCTATTCAATCATACTTGCCTCTGGACTATAAATAATTTTAACAGCGCACACACATACAGTGCCCGCTTGACCCGGTTATTCAAAGAACTGTCACAATCCCCGGTGCTTATGTACGTATGGGTTTGTCTTCATCTTTGGAGGAAACCGAAGTTTTCCATCTGTTGAAGGGAGTGAATCTGTGATGACCGGCAATGTGATGAGGTGAGATAATTCGGAGGCTGGTACCGAGGATATTAGAAACCAGACTGTCCAAATGACAGGGACAAGGGTCCCTATTAGGTGGAGGCAGGGATGAAGAGATTATTTTAATAATAGAGTCAGAATGTGTGGTACAACAGGGAGCTAATTTGTCATAATCAGATGTCTTTTACATCTATTGTAAAACCACAGTTTGATACTTTTTAAAAAAAGGAATAGTTCATGATTTTGGGGACTATGCTTTTTCTCTTTTTTGTCAAACTAAGTAATTTTTCTTGGCATTACGACTAGAAACGAGGAAAACAGCTCATTACATGGGCTCATAAGGATTAGAAGAAGCCTGTTAGCATGGAAGTAGCTTCAGAAGGTTGATATTTAAATGGTTTTTGACAAACAATACACGTACAAGATAAAATGCCCATTTGGGGCAGTAGTAATCATTTCAGGTCAGGCGCTGCAGTACGAAGTGGAGTGAGTGAAAAACCTTTGAAAACCTAACCATGTTAGTCATTGTTACGACGCGACTTTAGAGGTTCTGGCAGCCCGGTTTGATTACCTTTGTTTCCTGTCTTTATGCTAGTGAGCCTGCTGCTGGCTATATATTTAACATACAGGCATAAAAGTGTTTTATATAACTTTGCAAGAAAACTAGTAAGGGCGATTACTTGAATGTAACAGCATTATGCAGTCATGTTTCCTGGTGGTGTTGTTACCTTTACACTGCTATCACAAGTTGGAGAAGAAGAGAAGCAGGTATACTTACAGGAGGTCCTGAAAGAGAAAAGAAAGAAATACTTTAGAAATCAAACACTCAGACCATCATTGAAGCACACTTCACACTAAAAGCAACTATTCAAATAACTAGGAAATCAGGAGATACATTTTCCTGGGAAGCAACATTTTTATGAAGACTTTTTCAACATTGTGTTCACTGCAGAATACAAGACATTCTACTTTAACTCCCAAATTCCAACCTGTATTTCTACCAATGATTTTGAACAGCCAAAAGTTTCTTATTTATTTTCCATGCGGTTCGTCCAACAATGGCCACCAGGCCTGGTGATCACATTTTACATTTTGCAAGTTCCTCTAATTTCACAACGACAAGGGGTTGTGCGCTCGTTAAAAAGTCCTCCCACGTTTTTGTGAGGTGACACTCGTCTTTTCCCCAATTACCGCTGCTCAAAGGACTGTGTGGCAACGCACTTCAGGGCTCTGCAAATCATTTAAGGTCTTTAGGTTCTTATTAAAAAGGTACCCAGCTGCTTTAACCCTGAAAAAAACGGGTTTTTTTGCTTTACAAGTCCTATGTCCTTGAACTGTTCTTCTTCATGACCAGGGAAAAGTGCAAATCATTCCAGCAGCTGGAGCATTAAAGCAGCCGTGTGTTTGAGGCTTGCTGGGCTGCACTTCTGCAGCGTTGTTTTATGGATGGCTGAGTAACAGTCGACTACTTAGTTTTTAATAAACCTGCTCCACTTTTTAAAATGTCCCACTGTGTCGAATAGCTCGGTACAAAGTTTTCAACTAGCAATTATGGGAAACCAAAGAGATTATGTGATAAAAAAATTGCAATATGCTGCAAAGCACATAATAGCCACCTTTAAATGTATATATTCTTACACTGTATGGCTTTAGTTAGACTAAATGTTGATCTATAATCCATGTGAAATTAAAAAGTCTGATTTAATGTAAAATAATCCACCCTTTTTTTGTTCTCACGCTGGCACCTCTTTTCATTTCCTCCACAGTTTGTCACCCTCCTGCCTTTGATAAGAGTCACATGATCACTCTAACTCACTGGACAGGCCCTGTATTGGGTATTGTGTCTGCTAACATCATGGTGAAAAGTATAATTATGCTCAACATTAAATCAAGTTTAGAGAGAAGGTGAATTGGGCTTTTTAAAGTTACTCTGTTGAAGGATAGTCAGGCGTGTGTTGCAAGATGAGAGATACTTCTCTTCACAGATGACTGCTGCACCACTGTAAGGTTAAATTACTCAACCGGCACATTTGTAGCATCAATTCGTCCTTTAATGAAGGCAGGGAACATAAGGAAATATGGGAGGAAACTCTTCCCAGCATTGAAGAGTTTGAGAGGGTTGCTTTCACTCTTTTCACCCTAAACTGTCTCGCCACACTTTCCCTTTCCATACGTTAGCCAAGACATCCTAATGAAGTATCCCATTCATTATTTAATACATAGGTAAACATCATGGTGTCTTTTTCCTATTTGTTCTTTCTGTCAGTTGCAGCCAAGTCTAGGTGAGAGCTTCCCTTAGCCTTTGTAGATGAGTAAACTGCAAAACACCTCACCATGAATGTGTGGGAAACTCACTGCGGCTTCCTAACTTCTGGTTAAAGCGAAACATGAATTAAATATGCTTCCCTTCAACATCCACCGCTGTTGAGAACTTAAAAGAGGGAAATTGGATCTGCAGAAGGCTTACAGTGCAGAACGCAACACACCGTTCCTGTCAACGACTGCATTTTCAGACGAATAAATAATGTCTCTACTTTTTTGGGAGTAAACACAATTTGACGCTTTGCTTTTAAAAGCAGCATCATAATTGTTATTGTAAACACTCCTGAATGTTTCACACAGAATATTGTTTTTCATAGCCAAACATGAAATGTAGCAGAACTAACTGAGCTATAATTACATGCCAATATTCAGAATCACTTTCAGAGCATTTAAAGTGCCCACATTTGAAATTCCATTCAAGGACCAAAGACTTTAAAATCCTTGAATGTTTTTGAAGGTAACCAGTGGACATGCAAATAAAAGGCTACTTTAGTAAACATCACTCCAGCTTTGTTTAGTGCTGTAATCTGGGTTATTATTCAGAAAGGTAAAGCCTGGCATCCCAATTGTTCCCCATTGTCTCCCCTTCAGTGCGGACATTATGAGTGGATTATGATTGCTTGCTTGTTCGGAATACATTTGTCAAGAGGAAGCCATTCACATTCTCTACATTTACTCTGGCTGACCAGAGAGAGAGAAACAAAATGGTCTCTGCCCAATGGTGCCATTTGAAATATGCTGGCATGCTGGATGTTTATTGGAAAGTTAAGCACTGTATAAACAAAGGCTGGCGGTATTTCAGATATGCAGCCGACCACATCATTCAACTGTTGTCTATTTGTCATTTTATTTCTCTTTTTGTTGCCATCTTCCTCGGCTTTCGAGTCATACATTGGATTATTGGAGTATTATTTAATGGGAAAAAGGAACGAACAGAGCCACCGACGATGATCCACATCATAAAAAGGCTAAACATGGCCACAACATGATTATAGAAGAAGAGTTTTGGCCAAATAAAAAAAACAAGGAAGTGATTGATACTCAAATACAGGATTTCTGTGACTTTAAAAGGAAAACAAATGCCTATTAGTAGGTTTATATTTGTGATTTTGGTCTATATACAGTATGTAACCTTAAGCTCATCCTCACAGCCCCTTTAATAGAACATCTTCTAAATATGGGCTGCATACAGTATAGTACAATTCTCAATGGATTAAGGGTTTTTTATACTTTCACAGTGTTTGTATAGTAGCACCTAGACCTGCTTATAATATAAAAATACATGTAATTTTACTTTTCTACAATAAGGGACCTTTACAAAGAAGCACCTCACTTTGGTGGTACAGTAAATCAAAGTTTCTTAGCCCCTTAGACACATGTTTGTTTTTCAGTTCCTCAGGTTGTGGAACCAAAGCGCTCCATTACTACTCCACCTCACTTAACATGAGGAACTTGCTTTGCCCTGTCCCTCGAATGTCTTTCTATAGAGGTAGTTCTAAAGTGTTGGCTCTGGTGCACTTTCACCATGAGTAGACTGAGATTAGATGCAGCTCTTTGCCAATAAAACATGTTCTCACTTGTCCTTCTCAAAGATACTCAAAGACTTCGATTCCTGAACCCCACCGCTTCTCCCAGCTTTACTGTGGAAATCTAGTGTATCTAGTGAGGCTGAAGCTGAAACAATCCGGGTGAACACACTGAAAACCACCAGGCCACAAATTACACATCCATAACCTATTTTGGCCTCCAGAGATATACAGTGTACTTTTACATGATTGTAACTGTATGATTTGCTGATGTCCTCCTGAATTATTCCTTCAATGTTTCTGGATTGAGACTTGGACACACACACAGAAACACACACAAATGTGCATACCATTTTCTCCGTTGCGGCCTCTTCTTCCTCGCTTTCCCGGAGGTCCTGCAACAAGAAAAAGAAGAATATAATACATTTTAGTCAGTCATTTAATTATCTGTTTGTATAAGTTTCATAAGTTTCCTCGAGTATTCTCACAGACGGATGAGGAAAAGCCACTGAAAAATATGTTTGGACAACAAACACCTGGAAATCTCAGGGTTCATTAAGTATTTAGACTTCACATAACCCGAGCTGTTAAAAGAAAGCACACAGAAGTACGTTTCATTCTGTCATTCCTGTTTCTTTTTTTCAGGGTTTCCTTTCACCACGGATGCCCTGCTTTTTTTATTTGTTTATCTAGACAGTGTTTTCCTGTTTGCCATTTTCCTGTCAACACTATCAATGTGGTAAAGCTCAGCTGGGTGAGTAAAACAATTACACGCTTTGTCAGCTTTTACATGTTGACGACTTGACTGCGACGCATTGTAAGCAGGTAGCTCTCAGTTTGGAAATTGGGAGCATCTCGCCCAAAACGACCTCTCCCTCTCAGCAATGCATTCAGTCTTTCCCTGAGGTTTGCAGCTGGAAACAATTTTTCAGGCATTGGCATTTTGTTTGCTCTCCGCCCAAAGAAAAAAGCGTGTCCATTCACAATTTAGTCCAAAGGGTAAAGCCATGACTTTTCGACTGGCTGGAAATTAAAAGGGTGGCTCTTATGATTACACAGAAGTACATTTCAGGAGGACTTGTCAACTTGCAACGGAATGGATAATATGTAGGAAGGAACATTTCTCTCTCAGATGAACATAAAAGGAGCTGTCGGGATCAAAACGACTCAAGTTAATATAACGAGAGAACATTCTCCCCTGTGTGGTTCTGCATCACAGGAAATATCCAGATCCCATTTCAGGCGGCAACAATACTGTAAAGAGTTATTATGCAAATCGCTTTGAAGACTCTTTTGACACCGGTAGCGCCAAAGAAAAGCATATTGTCGTTGTTCGAGATAATTACAGAACTGCAAAAAAAGTGTGTGATGAGAATGCCAATAATTGCCTAGGATGTGACTTTCATACAGCGCTAAAAAAAAGTACAATAGAACACACGTGCCTGCCTTTCTCTGTGAAAACACCTCTCTGTAAGGGAATGGAATAAAAGAAAATTGTAAAATAAAAAGAGCACTGCATTTTAATACGTTTTGGCTGCATTAGTACACTACAGATGCCTTACTCGGGTGCAAAAAGCAGGATGGTGTTGCACAACTCTTTGTATGATGCTTAGCCCTCAATTTGATCTCACTATTTGGCTCCAACTCTGCTCCTATTGGACGGTTTCCAGGATAATGTCAGGCGCTGCCAGCGAGGGTCCAGGCTCAGTTTGAAGTATGTAACCACAGGTGGAGCTTAACTCTCACTTTACTTGATTTCACATCCATAAGTTTGTTTTTTAGGTTTTTTTTTAAGAAACATAAGAGGTCTCCTGCACTTGGCAGCCACTTAATCATAGCTTGCTTTGAAATGACACTTTTAGAGGAAGATTCTGTGTGACGTTACTCCTGATTTTGGTGGTGTGTTTTTTGACAGCTGCTGAGCAAACACTCCCCATATGGGAGTTTGCGGTCCACACACAAATATCTACCATTATTCTCAGATATCATCGTGAGTCACAATATTCATCATAATATTTATATTCTGATTATAGACTGTAAGGATAGATTCCCATATAAACAAACTGAAAGCAGTCCAACAAAAATGTTTCAGTCTATAAGACAAGTGAGAATAACTTATAGTCTATCAGGGCCGATTAAAAGAAGCTTTCGGATGTTTTTCAACCAATCGAGAGGACCCTGATCTTAAATCAAATGAAACTCAAACTAGGCTGTGAAGTACTGAGAGAACTTCAGCTGCCCGTCAACACAAAACATCTCTCTTACTCAAATACATTTTATTTGGCCTGCTATTTTTTCTCACAGCATCCCAAGTACGGTCATGGAACAGTGGTTTCAGAAAAAAATGTGGCAGGAATTTCCATGATGAGGGTCAGCAAGTATGAACAATCCTTTTCAACCTTTTCAACAGCTTTCCGGTCTGCGAGTGAAATAAATCAAAGTGAACTTGATGTTCATTCAGACATTTGGTTGGACAAAGTTCTAGGTCAGACAAATCAAAATGGCCCCTGTGGTGATGTGTTTTGAATTTGTGTTATTTTGAGCATCCGGATTGTGTAATCTCCACAACTATTTAAGGATTGTCAGGAACTTTTGTAAAGACAATCAGGGTCCCCAGACGATGAGTCATACTGACTTTGGATTTGCTGACTTTTCTACAACTACCACCAAAATATTATGTATAATTATCATATTGCCCATCACCAGTGGAGGTCAGAGATATGAAATATGATTGAAAATGGTCCTACTACTCTAATACTACGACCCATCAAACATCGTTATAGCATCCATTCATATGATGGTAAGAGATTGTGATGTGAATGGCACCAGGTTAGCTGTCAGAGCAGCATGAAACCATCAGCACATTGCTTTCCATTTCAAAATGTATTCCTATTCAGAAACAGTAAAACAGCATGAGATTTTTTACATCCCGCAGAATGTTTTCTAACCTCAAACACTGATAAAAATAGTAATTTTAATGTTGCCTGACAGGAAAGAATCCCATGGTATTGGCAGCATTGTGAAACACGCTGTTTTCAAGCCATGGCTGTATTTGTTTTTGGGAAGCTAGTTTTGCAACATTATTTTTAAGTTACGCATTGCTGGACATGATAAACTTTCTGTTTATACTTCCATTTGAGATACAATTGCATTTTACCACTATCCATCAGCCATTGATTTGCCCTGAACAGCTAACAGAGCTGCACATCTGCTCCATTTATCTTTTTCCTCCAAATGAATCAGTTTCAAGTGAACCAGCCTCAGATTGACTCATTTACAATACAAGCATTGTTTCAGAGCTAGATATACATAATCAGACCACTCTCTCGCAGCGTAATAAAGCTATTCCTCAGAAGGAAGCAATGCCAAAAACAGCAAACTGGGTACCAGCTCCAAACTCAAACATAAATCAGGTTTTAGGAGAATTGGCTTTAGACTCCTCAGAAAACCCCAATGCCACTTTACGTAGAGTGAATACATTCAGATGTTTTCTGCAAGTGAGATAAATGTTGCATTATCCCATTTTAAGATATCAGATGACACGTGTAACTTGAGAAAATTGTTTTGTGTCTCAGCTCTCCGAGTTCTTGTAATCTTTCAGCAGAGTGTAATTTTTGTTGTTGAGTGATGATTCAAATATGTTAATGGTGTTTATTAAGGGACACAGTGTTGCAGTGTGCGTATTACTTATACAAAAACACATTTTGAACCCAAGAGGCTTCTACGGACCATGCAAGAAAAAACCTGCTAGTTTAGATCATCATAGTGCCAAACGTAAAAAAAGAATCATGTTTGAATAATAAAAAATGTCCACGGTTATTTTTAAAACTATTTTCCCTCTCTGTCATGCTGAAATGTAAACAACCAGCCAATTTCAAGGATCTCAAAAGCATCACACGCTTACCATACTGTTTTTATACGAGTCATATAGATACAATGCCCAGTGTGAATGTTTGTCAGAAATGTCATATTGGTCCACACTTCCAATAGCAGTTTCTTTTCATGGTGTAAACACAACGCTTGAAGTCTTTGGATGATGTAGTGCTTACAAAGTTCTGCAGCTATTTTGGAGAAGGCCTAATAGAGCAATTTCTTCTATTTTCAATTGTTTATATAAAATAACTTGCTTTCTTATTATCCAGTTGTTGTGATTGCTTCCATGTAGAAGTAATATCAGCTTCACAGTTGAAAAAAAGGTCTCTCTTCAATTTGATCTCTGTCTGTCTCCAGTATATCAAATTGATAGGATACAGTATTCTTGGCCATCTCACACTTGGAGCCTTGGTTGACTGAAACTTGTATTTATAAATCTGATGATCAATTTCCTTACAAGCATCCCAAGGATTTAGGAAGATTTAGTCAAAACGGACTTTAATATAGTCCATTTGATCCCACAACATGGATGGATGAGTTTATTAAACCTGGAAACACTTTGGTATCCAGGTCGGCGGAACTAAAGCTGCACAAAAGCTGGCTCCCTACCGAGCAATCATTTGTTACTTTACAAGTACATTTTTGCGGAGACGTCTGGCACAGCACAACAATTTAGATCCAAGATCCCTATTACCCTGCATGACAATGAATAAATCAATACATAAAATGCCAATTCATGGAACAGTGGGTCCACTGTCGAAGGGGAAAAATGGAAATTGGACCACCATTTTACAATTTGCCTCATCCGTAAATGTCACCGCTCTCGTCATCTTTGAGCGCATTTGTATTGTTGTCAAAATGTGAATTGCAAAATCTAGCAGCGAACACAGGGAGCTGCTCCAGCACAATGACTTTGGAATATGTGCGCTTATTCAACTGGATTATGGAGGGAAAATATTCTTCTCATAAAATGTCATGCCTGCTATATTACTCCCCTCAAGATTTAAAGAACTCCGATTGTAAAAAAAAAAAAAAGAAAAAAGGTTGTGATCCACTGAGCTTCTGCACGGTATTTAAAAATACATTTCACAATTGTCTCTCTGGTTATACCGTGACAGATTACGTGACGCAATACACTGGCATTTACTTCAACCGTTAATGTATTACTTATAGTTGTCTGTCTGAAATATAAACCGGTTACTTAGCTTTCAACCATTCATCCTCTGTGTATGCTTGCTAACTAGCTTTGATAAACGTTGAACATGTTAGTTCAGGTGTTACAACTGACTTTAAATCATACTGTGTTATCTTTTTAAACGAATCAAAGAAGCTCTTTTATGCTTTTTGGGGTTTTCCCTTTCCTGCAGTGTGTTATATAGGTTTTAGTGCATGTAAATGGTCTGCAAAGGCTAAAATCCCAACTTTCCCTGCATAAGGAATTATTATCCCATTTAAAAAGAAGTTGTGTGCTCCTGATTAAGCGCATTTACTTCGATTATGTATGCTTTATAGAATTACTCCA